AGTAATCTAGCAGATCCTCATTCCATCCTTATTGGGCACCCCATATTATTTGTCAGACTAATCTAATGTACTTGGAGCAATCCGATCTCACAAGCCATTGTCAGTCATCTGATTTCTAGTAGCTCTATTTTGTGGCCTTGCGTCAAACTGGTTTTGTAAAAGACGCTTTGGGAAGGAACCTCACATTTCTTAATCTCCTGTCTACTATTTTGGCGAATCGCTAAAACAAACCTTTAATTACTGCAGCCACATTTAATGTACCCTGTAGCTTTTAGGGACATCAGTCAACACGTAGCATTTATTTTACCCAACCAATATTTATTTTTTCAAAATATTAATTTGAGTCAATAGCAATTTCCGCTTTGGGGAACCATTTGTAATGACGAACGTATCATCCTAACTAACCGTTCCTTAAATAGTAGATGATGAAAAGTGGATTGCATACAACAATGCGCAACGCAAAAGCAATGAATTGACAAGGACAAATCTACACAATAGGATCAAAAAGCTGAGTTCCATGGATGAAAGGTAACGTTGTCCGTGTGGTGGAATCGTTGAGGTATTATTTATTTAGAGTTCTTAAAACATAATGAAATATTAAATTCATATTTTTATATCCAGCAGTTGCAACGTGTCCATAAAATATTGTACGAAAAGTCACTTGTTCTCATCAGTAAGAATATCTATCTATATATAATTAAGTAATTCATCGAGTGTAGAAGAAATCTCAACAAAATGCAAAAAGCACTATATTTGGGACATCAGCAAAGCGCATCCACTATCGAGAATTGAAACCAGGAAAGTTACGCTATGATGCAAACGTCATACCAACTGTACCAACGGGCTTTGATGAGGAAGAGGGAACGAATTAGACTCGATATAGCGCCGCTCGTTCACATATTCCGTGGTGGAACTCATCCGAGTCTCCTCTGCCCATAGGACTGTGCCCCCGAGAGGTACGACTACTATCACCAAGCCGTTCCATCCAGAGCACTAGAATCCGGTATAAGCAAGGATATACAAATGATAGAAATTAAGGAGGCCCGTTGGTACAATTGGTATGACGTTTGCCTCTTACTCTATATAGATATATTATACCTTTTTGGAATCAGGATGATCCCCGGATTGAAACTCTGCCTTTCATCTGATGCTTGAACATATCCAGCATTGCAAATTGTGTTCCAAATAATGGTGAATATATCTAAATAAATAAAGAAACAGCAAATTTTGTCTTGACGTCCGTGTGTCAGTAATCACTCTAACTCGAACCAACTTACTCTATATAGATATATTATACTTTGTAGGAATCATAATGATCCTCGGATTGAAAATCTGCCTTTCATGTGATGCTTGAACATATCCAGCATTGCGATTTTTGTTAAAATGGCTGAAAAAAAAATTAATGATTCTAAAAGATTTTAATTTATATTGAGCTTAAAGTAGTGCAAAAAAAATTACTTGTGAATTAAAAAAAAAAAAAAGTTTTAAATTCAGTTTAAAATATCTCCAAAATTTTGTGAATTGAGGAAATCAATTTTATTTCTTCAAAATGCCAAGGGGTCAGAGTTAAAATGAGAGGTTTCATGACGTGAGGTTTTGAAGTTCTGTAGAGATTGTGATTTGAAGAACTCAGTTTTCGGCTTGAATTGGAATTTCGGCCCAAATCGGTCTTTTAAGACGGTAAGTGTTACACTGAGATCTGTAGGCGTATCGGGATAGCCAAGGACACATTCCAAAAGTTGGGCAGAGTATTGAGAGACAGGAGGATATCTTTGGTAACAAAAAAAAAAAAAAAAGAATACTGAACTGTTACGTAACATCTGTCCTTCTTTACGGCAGCGAATTTCGGACGATTTCCTCAAAGATGAAGATACTCAAGGCGGCAGAGATGTGGTTCTACAGAAGGTTATCATGGACCGAGCGTGTGAGCAACGATGAGATCTTAGAGAGGTTGCAAACAAGGAGGAGGCTTATCTTTCTTATTATAAAACGCAGATTGTGTGTGTGTGTGTGTGTGTGTGTGTGTGTGTGTGTGTGTGTGTGTGTCTGTAACGTTTATATATTGGATCGGATTTCCTACATTTTTTAGCCGATTTCAACAAAACTTCACAGGACTACATAAAATTACCTTGTGGTGGTTCTAACGGCGCCGAAAATGGGAAAAACACAATTGTTTTTTAACAAAATCAATTTGAAAACACGATTAAGACACATCGTGAGAATGAAAGGGGGACAACTCACATCGGGTCAAAAACCCAGGTTGTTTGTGTGTGTGTTCCTTTATATATGGGATCGGATTTCTTACATTTTTCAGCCGATAAAACAAACATCCACTTTTTTTTTGGCAGGTAGTGTTTCTTATCGTCTTGCACACTTTTTTCTTTATTTTTACATTCAGAATGCTTTAAAATTCAATTTACAAGACAATTGTTTATAAAATTATTCTATTCAATCGGTAGAGACTCATAACGATTGAAAACTATGTTTTTGTTTGAGTTTGACCAATTCGTAAAAAAAAAAAAAAAAAAATTAAGACATGTGTGTCCGTCAACCTTAAACAATAATCTTTGTCAATTTTATTTTTCAGTCTTTATGATGGTGGATACTTGATCTATCTCTTACTGTTACATACCCGGGTAACGCCGGGCTCTACTGCTAGTACTTAATATCAGGAAGAGGCAGCTGAAGTTTCTGGGAAACATAATGAGGAAGTGGAGCCTGGAGAATCTGATAAATAGAGGGAAGGAGAGACAAAAGAAAACAACGCGTGACATACCTGACAGGCTTAAGCAAATGGATGACAGAACGCTGTCTGGGGGAGGAAGCAGAGGGAAAGAACTTGTTGAGACCTGCAAGGGATAGAAGGAGGTGGACAGCCATGATCGCCTACGTCCTGAAAGGATATGGCACATAAAAAGAAAAGAAATGACTGGAATTGGACTTTTAGCCCGAATCAGAGTTAAAGTGAGGTTTTGAAAATCCATGGAGTGAATTGAGGAATTTAAAGTTATTTCTTGAAAATTATCATTTCTGTTTTCTAAGCTGAACCAAAGGTCCCTTTAGTTTTGGACTGAAGGCATAATTAGCCCTCTGAAGCAACTAGCTTAAAAATGTCCGGAGTGCAGCTTTTAAGCTAGTATTTGAATAAAATATAATTGCACTTTACTCTTTGAAGAATGAAGTTGATAAACATAAAACGGAAATTATTTATGACTTAACCTATTATATGGGCACTTTCGATGCGAGACTCGTATTTCTTAGACGATTCTCTACTGCTCTGGCACATCGCTGAACCAAAGACCAAATTACTGCAGCCGCGTTTACTGCAGCCGTGACATTAACTATTCTGGAAATCAATAAACTCCTTGCATTTATTTTACACAACAAATATTTCTTTATCAAAATAACCTTTTTTCTTTTCAATGCACTTAGTTCAGTAGGGAATCGTAATCACAAAGATCAGGCATCATACCGTGAACATTTCAGACCGTAATTCAGTTTGTGTCAAGCTATGGACTTATTGATTTTGCCTCACAGGTCACAGGTGGGGGAGGAGGAAGTTTGGCGATGCAGAGTGACGTAATGATTACCAGCGTGGATATCGGAGCAGGAGAACACGGTTCAAATATCGACGAAGACTGCTTATATTCACTTTACAAAAGGCATGAATCCACTTCTCCGTGTCCCTGTTGTCGGATATTTTGCTGGATATTTTAATCACAGGCAAGCTCCGACGGTTGAAAGAGAATTGAGCAGGTGAGTGATCCTTTAGGCAAACCACTCTCTCATAACGTCGTCTGCAAAGGTTAGGCTCGAAATCGCTTTGTTAGGCGATGATCTGCTCGATATGTATCGATATACCGATCTTAGCAAGGCACCCAATCACTCTCCCATAATGATGTTTACTAAGTTTAGGCTTGAACTCGTTTTGTTAGATAATTGGTTGTTCGATACGTTTGCTGCCTATTGTTTGTAGCAAAGCAGCCAACCACTCTCCCATAATTACATCATCCGCCCAGGGCAATGGCAGTAAGAAGCTACTTATAGAAGAGTAGCCAGTTTTTGACAGGGATAAGAAACCAGCATCGGTGCTCTTTTGAAATTAACCATGTTTTTACTTGGTCAAGATATAGATAATTTCTTGACCCACCAGAAGCAGGGTAAAGCAGTGAGTAAGCTACTTAACGAATTTGTGAATAGTAGAACAGGTACAAAGAGGGATGGTAAAAATTCAAAAAGGAACAAAAGAAAGGAAGTTGTGGAGAGCCATGACTATCTAGTTAGTCATTTTGTGTGAATGGATAGCAGAACAGGAACAAAGAAGGATGGTAAATATTAAAACTTACTTAGAGGGACAAAGGAAAGGAAGTTGTGGAGAGCCATGATCACCTAGTTAGTCATTTTGTGTGAATGGATAGCAGAACAGGAACAAAGAAGGATGGTAAATATTAAAACTTACTTAGAGGGACAAAGGAAAGGAAGTTGTGGAGAGCCATGATCACCTAGTTAGTCATTTTGTGTGAATAGATAACAGAACAGGAACAAAGAAGGACGGTAAAGATTAAAACTTACTTAGAGGGACAAAGGAAAGGAAGTTGTGGAGGTCCATGATCACTTATTTAACTAGGTTGTGTGAATGAAGAGCAGGAGAAGAACAAAGAAGGGTGGTAAATATTAAAAAAATACGTAGTGCAACAAGAATCAGGAAGTTGTTGGTTGATTTTGTTTATCGGCATATCAACATCTATATGGGTTATTTAATGTCGAACTTTAATTATTTTGTCCGCAATTTTATTTATTTTTGAATAATAATGCTTTCAGTGATACAAGTCTTACTAATTAATCTATATCTGGGGGTGTGTGGAAGAGGTGGATTCATACTTTTTTCCCAAGGGACTTTGCGCGTCAGCGAATATAACGAACTCAACGGGAATTGGAACACGGCTCTCCGATTGACAATTCCGAGCCATTATCCATTACACCACCCACACATTCAAGCTTATAGCACCTGGTATTTCCAATCGGTCACCCATTTAGGTACTGACCAAGCTTGACTTTGCTTAACTTCGGTGATCGTAAAGGAACTAATGTTTCAACGTGATGTGGCCGTAAGCCAAAGGAAGTTGTAGGAGAGTCATGACCGACTATGTTCTGAAATGATATTGCACATAAAAGATAAAATATTTACCTTTACTTGGTTTATCAGTTAACTGTATGAAAAATTGAAACGTTGAAATGAACTCAAATCACAGCTGAGTTTGTTCGCTTCCCCTTCGTACACTTGGGAAAGGTAAGATTCCACATAATTAAAGTAAATTGTTCATCATAAATTTGTACATTACTTGTGTTATTAAGATACGTGCAATGTTGGGTAAATCTACTAGTATAATATATATCACAACACTTGTTTTATTTTTGCTGTTAACCCGTATTGCAATTTCCGATTACCCTTACTTTCACTTTCACCTTACGGTAATTTAAAATTGCCTTCAGTTTGCGGGGAGTTAGGGTTAAACCGCGCTCAAATTACCGCTGGGTTTAGGGGAAGCTCGAATGTGATCTCAACCTGCCTCCGACGATTTTGGATTATCTCCTGAAAAAAAAAAAATTATACTCTTGAGTAACTTATATACAATGATTAATGCACAATCTTTATATTTGTTAACAGCTAAGGATAGCTAGAAGGGGATTTTAAATTTCCTCCCACGTTACAGATTATATACGGCTAAAAAAAAAAAAAATCCCGTACGAACGGATAGAAAACCCATTTCAACCAAAACAAGGAAATCAAGCCACTAAGAAGCAAAGGGTGTTAGAGGTCTGCCTATCGTCCGGTTCACACTCCTCCCAGGTTTTTTGAACAGGAGTCGAGATTCATTCTTTGTTTCCTGTTTAGGATTGGGTTTCCGGTTCCTTCTAAAGTTTTCATTCTCTTTTACTCCCAGTAGCCCCTTGCGTCTTAGTGACATTATCACCTTGCTTCAGGTGAAGTGATTAAAAAAATATGTGTATGTGTGTGTATGTGCGTATAAGTATTTTTCCGCCCCCAATAGGAGTAGATATGTTTCATCCCTTGTTTTCTGTTTACGATTGGGTTTCCGGTCCCTTAATTTTACTTCAACTCTATACTTCTAACGTTTCCGCCAGAAATTCTGTTCGCTAATTAAGTTTTGACCTCTTCAAGTCTAGAAGTAGCCATCTATCTTTCCTGTTATCTTGCCCTTTCTTACGCTAATACAACTCCATGCAGTAACCCTCTACCTAGAGTGGCCCTTGGGCCTTGTACTGAGTGAACATTAGTAAAAAAAAAAGGATATGAAGAAAAGGCCAGAGAACAATTAAAAGAACAAGAATTAAGAAGATAGTAAATAATGATTGACATTGCATTTAAATTTTTAAAGATCAAAGTTAACTGAGAAGCAAGAAGCCTGAAGAAAGTTTCACAAGCGAAAAGTGCGATGGAAGAAACTGTTAGCATAGAACTTACGGTTATATCTAGCCATTTAAAATGTAAAATGTTGAGACCTTGCCGCCAATCTAGTACTGCGAATCCATAAAATCTACTTACCATAGAGGTAAGTTCATGGTAAGAAAAGCTTGTAAGAAAATTCACCAACTGGCTTTCAGATTAAAATAAAGTACTAAAAACGAAAATAGATTTAATTTATAAAAGTGTTTGCTTACTAATTGTTATATAAGAAGTTTTTGATGTTTCAAGTACGTTTAGTTTACTAAGAATCAATTGATGTATTAATAGTTTTCTTTGTACCGAAATTAAAAGAAATTAATTTGTGATAAAAAGAAAAAAGAGGTTTGTGTCATTAAAAGAACAAATTTACTTTGGATAAACTACATAAGTAGTGATTAAAGTTTAGTCTTAGGATTTCTTTATTATGCAACACTTTTAATTAAGAAAGCGTGAAAAGTTTCTTCAAGGGGAGGTGCAAGGGGTGTATACAGCCAGTGTATAGTTTATTTGTGGCACTTACTCTCCCTTAGTTACTCTCCCTTAGTTACTCTCCCTTAGTTATTCTCCTTTAGCAATGTGCAAGAATCTGTGCGTGTTTGAGAAAAGAACGTACTAACAGAATTTGGCCTTCTGCTACGATGTCTTTGTGGAAATGTTTTGTTCGTCAGTATGTCTGCAGAAACTGATTGGCGGCAGACGAAACTGAAAGATAGGAAGAGTTGATTAAATCGCCGACTAGAAATGCATGTCACACGACTTCGAAGGAAAACCAACCGACTATTGATGATTTTCAAATTGATGTCGGCTATTTATTAAGAATTTGATGTCTCAAACAAAGCCTACATTTTAAGGAGAATAATTTGCTAATTAGAACTCTAATTGGATGAAAAATATTAGTGTAATATATTATGCACTTTTTTATTGGATAAAAAAATATCGATAACGCTATTACAAATCGGAAGGCTGTTTTGATTCACTTTTACTTTATGACCTTTATGTTTGACTAGCAGCATGGCCCGGCGTTGCCCGTGCTTGATTCAAAAATCGTACGACTCATACAGCAATCGCTATCACTTGACTTAAAATATTTTTGTCCTTCCTTGCTTTTAAAGGAGTGCCCTTTGCTATGCTGATGTTGCTACATGCTTTACTTCTTTCCCATTTCACAATGCGATTTTTTTCTAACCTCTATACTAAACATTAAATCTGTTACGAAAAAAGAACTAAATAAAATGAACACAAAACGATCAGCTTTAAAAAAAGACTCGTAACTGGAAAAACCGAATGAAAAAAGAATGTTAACAACAAATACTTTTTCACACCTAACCCAGTTGTGCGGAATCAGAATCAACGTTGAGTTTAAGCAAGCGAATGAGCCAATTGGAGTAAAGTGCCATGCAGATTTAAATTTTTCCCACTTGAGACGAATGCAGCTATCGATTTTTTTGCATGCTAGGATGCTAGTTAACATTCGTGTCAGTCAGCTGTTGGCTCTCACGCTAGCCAATAGAGTCTTCTTGCCTATTCGTGGCAGCCAGCTATAGGCTCTCACTCTGGCCAGTAGAAAATGGCCGCAAACTACATGAAAACTGCCGTAGAAGCATGAAAAAAATCGATTATTTCCACTATCGATGGGAGTTGGGAAATGCAAAGTCGGTCTTAGCCTTCCCACTAACTTGGAGCATGTGCATGTAAATTTTGGTGCAAATCCGTCGAAAATTGCGGCCGTGCATTCGTTACACACACACACACACACACACATCCTGCCTTTTATACATAAAGATTGTAAAGTTTAGTGTTTCCATTGTTTTTTTTTTGTTTGTTTTTTTTTAATGCCATGGCAGTTATGGATTTTCACAGCTTCTTTTTCTTCATTGTCTGTGAATTCCCATGACAACATGAGAAATATAGTGGCGATATCTTCACAGTTTTCTTTCTCCTAAACAGGCTGTCAACCAAGGCTAGCTTACTTTGCTATTTAAATCATACGTCGGTGAGAAAAGACGAAATGGATTCACGCCTTAAAAGTACGAAAGTGCTACGCAAGGCTTAAGCGCCCAGTCTAGCTTGTTATTTAACTCATAGCTCGTTGTAGATCATTCCAAAGGCAAAAAAGCTGTAGACATCTGACTCGACAGGGTTGAATCTTTTTTCGTCTGTTGAGATCTTATTCTACAAAATAGGATTCTCTTTGAAGATCTTCTCTACCAATTGACAGCTGGTTTCTTTGTGGTTTTTATGCAAAGACAATCAGGTCAGTAATTAGATGGGTGACCGCTTGGGAATACCAGGCGCTGTAAGCTCGGATGTGCGTATGGTGTAATGTATACGGGCTGGGAATTGAAACTGGGAGAGCCGAGTTCCAATTCAACTCAGATTCGTTATATTCTCTTATGCGTAAAATTTCCTTGGGAAACGTATGAACCCACCTCTTCTCCCCAGCTATAGGTTAATTAGTAGAATTTGTATCAGTATATCGTTGTTATCTCTAAACCTTTCTTTTTAGAACTAAAACTATTTTCTGGCTTGAAATAATTCGCTAAAGGTTGATAAGCCGTAAAAACAAATCAATCAATAAAAAAAGAAGAAGAAAAAACAACAAATACGATCTGGTTTAATCTTGCACCAGAACTACGTGCATGTTACTGACCAAAATATCGTGGACGGAAGATTTCGATATTTGCTGTACCTGCCATTTTGTGTGCTCAAATTTCCAAATACACTTTTCGATTGAGTTTCTATAACGTCACTGACGATTTCTTGCCTAATCCGTTGAAAAATTTTCATTTTTTTTCCACAGTTACTTTCCGTGCTCACCATGAGGGTCAGGATTCCTAAAAACGTTGTGGATCATAGGGAGTAACAAAGATTGTCTTAACTTTTGTAGAAGGCTTCACCCCATCCAGAGGGACATTAGAGTACCATTATCACCCAGTTTTCTTCCAAGTAATAATACCTTTTCTTTTACCGACTGATTGATTGGTTGGTCCGGTTGATTTTGTTTAGCGGCATATCAACACCTCTATGGGTTATTTAATGCCGAAATCTAAATATTTTTGAATGCAATTTTATGCCATCAACTAAAGCTATTTTGTACATTAGTTTATACTTTCAGAGTAAATTTATGTTTTTTAAATATGTAGTTTGTAGATGAAATACATTTTTGGTATATTTTAGTATTTAGAAATGATTTTTACAAAAATGAATTTAAACGTTTAGTGTTGTATTGTCGGTCTTTTGTTTAATAAAAGTGTATTGCTAGTAATTTCTCTACAAAAACCTATTTGTTTACTTTCTAAGTATTTTATTTTTGTTGCGGGGGGGGGGCATTATTTACCCATAGCTGGGATTCTAACAGGTGCTACCACCCCGGGTCAGGGTAGACCTCGATCAGCAATTAAGAGGCCTTGCTGCCAGATGTAGTTTATCGTCATACCCCAAACCATCTTTTAGCGATAAGGATTGAAAAAAAGAAAAAGAAAAACAACGTAACAAATTATGCAGCACTTATTCCGATTAACTGCATTACTTAGAACGATTACTTTCCTATTATGTAAATGTAAAAATAGTCTTATTTGGCAATAATACAGGATGCAGTATAAATACCTCTCACATATACATCTCATATAATGGTAATACATGAGCTCGATGAAGACACCATTGCCACTAATTTCTTATCATTATGTGTAGTCGGACACATTTTTGAACTGATCCAGTCTTTTCTAACAGTGAACAATGTTTACCTTATAGACCTAAGTAATAAACTCGACCAATGTTTACCTATAGACTCAAGTATAAACTCAACCAATGTTTACCTATAGACTCAAGTATAAAATCGACCAATGTTTACCTATAGACTCAAGTATAAACTCGACCAATGTTTACCTATAGGCTCAAGTATAAACTCGACCAATGTTTACCTATAGACTCAAGTATAAACTCGACCAATGTTTACCTATAGGCTCAAGTATAAACTCGACCAATGTTTACCTATAGACTCAAGTATAAACTCGACCAATGTTTACCTATAGGCTCAAGTATAAACTCGACCAATGTTTACCTATAGACTCAAGTATAAAATCGACCAATGTTTACCTATAGACTCAAATATAAACTCGACCAATGTTTACCTATAGGCTCAAGTATAAACTCGACCAATGTTTACCTATAGACTCAAGTATAAACTCGACCAATGTTTACCCACAAGTAATTAACATTTGTAATTATTCAAACAAAAAGTAAACGGCTTCAGCTAATAAAATGTTTATAAATTCCCGCAAATGCTTTTCTTTCATTTTACTTAAATTCCTTCTTTTTTGTTTTCAGTTTTAAATGTATGCTTTGGTAAATATGTACTGGATAAAATAAAACACACGAATAATAATTATAATAATGATAATAATAATTTTTATTACTATTACGATTATTATTACTATTATTATTATTACTGTTTCTATTATTATTATCATCATTATTATTATCATCATTATTATTATCATCATTATTATTATTATTGTTATTATTATTATTGCCGGAACTGCTATTACTGCTGCTGCTGCTGCGCGTCGTAATTACACACAATACATTTGTCGCTTTGAGATGAATTGAGGGTCAAATTTATCGAAGAATCGACCCCAGAAGCAACTTAGAAGATCGTTGGCATTTCACGGGTGCTTTGTAGCGGCTTCGTCCTTCCTGTTTGCAGTCACTCTGTACTAAGATGCACTGCCGCTTGTCAAAAAATAACCAACACGAACTTTTGTGATCTTCACTTCAAAACATTAAGAATCACTGTGTAATGTTATTTTTTATTTTTATCAAAGTCGTTCAGTGTATTATTTCAAAAGGCTCTATTAGATCGTAGTTATTTATACGGGAACAACTCCTCTGCTTCGACCTCAAAATATTACGACTTTCTTTCAAGTAGACCAAGATTCCAGCAAAAATATATCAGTCAGTTATGTGCCATACATGATACATGTTTAGGCGATCATGTATTTTTCGATACATGACTGATGAGGCAGATTTTTCTTTCTGCGGCAGACCAGTTACCATCCAAGGCTATAGAACCCGGTCTGTCCTGCTATTTACCCATAGCTTGGGGGGGGTGCGAGAAGAAGAGACATACCTTTCACAAAGGGTATTAGAACGTAAGTGAATGTAATGGATTCGACTCTCCAATGACTTCAATCCGAGCCGCTATCCATTACTCTACCGTACACAACTGAAACAGGCTGGTCCACTCGTCAAAATGTAAGAAAATATTTTTCGGGTATTATTTTTTTTTTTTTTAGATTAGCATTACAACAGACGTACCTCAAGCCACGATATTTGGCAGAATAAACAAGTATTGTATTTAATTTAACTAAATTTAGAAGGGTCCTGTTCATAACGTTACTTAGTTATAAGCAGACATTTTAAATAGTTATCTGAACATAGTTTCTTATTTATAAAATGAAAAGAAAAAAATTGTGTTTACGTCATTAAAATCTGCATATATTTATTTTTAATTATCTGGATATTTTAAACTTTTAAAAAAAATTTTTTTTTGTGGGGGGATTTTTCGGAAGCTCATACACAAACGTTGGGGGATAATAATTATTTATCTTAAATGAAGTATATAACTGGATATACTCTTTTATTTATTCAAATATTTGATCTTTAATTAAAAATGTAGATATATTTAAAAGAAATCTTTTTGTAAAAAAAAAAAATCTGTTTTCGTACACAGAACAACTAGGTTCATACAAATCTGTAAAATGCCAGGGATTAATTTTACATTATAAGGATATCATGAACAGGATTCCCCCCTTTTCTAAAATGATTAAAAAAAAAAAAACATTTTTCGAAACTGACAAATATTGCCTTTTGAGCAAGTTGCAAGGAATAAAATATTATCCAGTGAAATTTTTTCTCTCTATTTTCTATGAGCGGACCACTCTACTTAAATAGTACCAATATTTTAACTTTACTGTTTCTTTACAAGGGAACAGAAGAGAAGAAAAGAAAACAATACCGAGCTGTTACGTGACATCTGTTCTTCTTTTACGGCACCGAATGTTGGACGATTTCCTCAAAGATGAAGAAGAGACTCGAGGCGACGGAAATGTGGTACTACAGGAGGATGCTAAGGATATCATGGACCGAGCGTGTGAGCAACGATGAGATCTTAGAGAGGATGCAAACAAGGAGGAAGCTTATACTTAATATCAGGAAGAGGGAGAAGTTTCTGGGACACATAATGAGGAAGGAGGGCCTGGAGAATCTGATACTCATAGGTCGAATAGAGGGAAAACAACGCATGGCATACCTAGCGGCTTTAAACAAGTGGATGAGAGAACGTGATCTGGGGGGAGGTGGTAGAGGGAAAGAATTTGTTGAGAGATGCAAGGGATAGAAGGAGGTGGAGAGCCATGATCGCCTACGTCCTGAAAGGACATGGAACATAAAAAGAAAAGAAGAGAATAGTATAATTTGGCGTGATGGGTTCAATTTTCGGTCGATTCTTTTTCATTCATTTCGTACTAATAATCTTGGAAAAGGCATGAATCCATCTTTTTTCTAGCTACGGGTGAAGTGGAAAGTCTATATTGGATCCATTATTAGGTCAACAGCTAATTAATTTGGTTCACTGTGTCGGACGAGACAATTTCTCTCCCCAGAATCTATCTTACACATCTATAAGTCTACTATTCGTCCCTGCTTAGAGTATTGCTGCCACATATGGTACGGTGTTCTTGCTATTTATCTAGAGCGCCTTGATAAAATCCAAAGAAGAATCAGCAATATTATTGAACCTGATTTGGCATCTCGTCCTCAGTCATTTTCCCACCTCCGTAATGTTGCCTCTCTGTACCTTTTTTTTTCTTTTTTATAAATACTTTCATGTTAATTGTTCAGATGAGCTCTTCGATACGGTACCTAGACTTTATGAATTTAAGCGCAGTACTAGATTGGCAGCTAGGTCTCATCGATTCACAGTTGAATTGACTAGATGTAACCGTAAGTTCTACGCTAACAGTTTCTTTTCTTGCACTTCTCGCCTATGGAACTCCCTTCCTGTGCCATACTTTCCAGCTGACTTTAATCTTCAAACATTTATATACAATGTCAATCGCTATCTACTGTCCTCCTGATTACTCTTTTTCTGTACACGCTCCTTAGTATATATATATATACTGTTGCTATTTTTTAAAATTCTGTTTTCGATTTACCTGTTTTGTATTTGGTTTTCATTTCCCGATTACATTTTTAATATGTGCATTTTTATTGCAATGTTACACCAAACGTGCTCGTAATCGATCACATTGTCATAAGTATCTTACATATAAAAAACAGTCAATTGTTATTTCTTTTTATGTATAAAAAAAAAGTTCGTAAAATTACATTAAACTTTTCAGTCCGAATTCCGTCCAAGTTCGTTAATTTTTTCATTTTTACGCAAATACTCTTGGTCTTAATTTTAAATTTTTTGTATATGAATCAAATGTACAAGCAAAATTATCATGTGTTTTTTTCATGTTCTTCAATCTATCCAAAATGTTTTAGGTACCTCCATTTTTTTTTTCGCTTATTTTAGATATACTGTTTTTTAAAAAAAAAATTTTTAAAATGAAAAAATATTAACTTTTAGATTTCATTTTTAGCTTTAATTGAAAGTTTAATCATTAAATTTATTATTTCCATTAAAATTTAACAATTCTGGTTTATTTTCTAGAAACTATATACATTGGAATGTCAAATTTAATTTTGGAATTTCAAATTTTCGTAATTCCCGCCATTTTCTTAACACCTTCAGAAACAATATACCTGTATATAGAGCAACCGTCACCTAAAATATATGACTTTTAAACTCTAAAAAGAAATTACTTTTGTATAGTGTGGCCTCCAATTTATTGCGTAAAAAAAAACTGAACATAAAAAATCGCACTATACTCAAATACATCCAGTATAACTTCATTTTGTTTAAAATCTATTTTTTAAATACGTTATAAAAAAAAAATCATTAGTTTGACTATGTAAAAAGCTAGCTAAGTCAATAGAGCGCGAGACTCTGGTTCGAGCCCCACGTTGGGCGTACTACATTTTGTTAATATATCTGTTGGAAAAGAGTAACAGCTACGATTGGAAGAAAGATTCATGGTCACGCATACAGACATTTTTTTCTCTTTTTTTCCAACCGGTCTTTCATGGTCAGTAATCAAGCGAATTAACAGCAAAGTAGAAGTTCTTTCGTTTCTGAATGTATTGTCTTTGATCTATCTATCTATCTTAGCTAGCTACCTACTCATCTGTCCATCTAAATTTGTTTATATCTATCTATCTATCTATATTAGTTTGTTCATATCTATCTATCTATCTATCTATCTATCTATCTATCTATCTATCTATCTATATATCAGTTTGTTCATATAAAGCTGTCGATCTATCGCAGTCTGTTCATGTGTCTGTCGATCTATCTCAGTTGATTCATCTCTCTCTCTCTCTCTCTCTCTCTCTCACTCTCTCTCTCTACAGTGTAACCCGGATATAAGAGAGTTTTTCTCTGGTTCCAAATTAGCCTGTGTTTAATGTATATAAAATAGATTAAACCTATATATAAGAGACGACTTTCCGGTCCCGACAACTCTCTTATATCCGTATATAATATATTCATATATCAGATTGTTCATATAAAGCTGTCGATCTATCGCAGTCTGTTCATATGTGTCTGTCGATCTCTCTCAGTTGATTCATATCTATCTATCTATCTATCTATCTATCTATCTATCTATCTATCTGTCTGTCTGTCTGTCTATCTATCTATCTATCTATCTATATGTATATATCAGTTTGTTCATATATAGCTGTTGATCTATCGCAGACTGTACCTCCAAAGAAAAGCGATGCCTAAAGTTTAATATGCATTTTTACAAATGAAATATCTTTATTGAATGTAAAATCTTTTATTGTAAAAATAACAAGAACCTCCCGCCCCATTTCTTCTTTTTTCTTCTTTTTCCTTTTTTCTCCTTCCCTTATCCTCCTACTGTCCCCACCCTATTTATTTATTTTAATTCTAGTTTCAATCTAAGAGATTAGATTTAATATTCCCAATCAGTAAAATACTTTGCTGGATTCCAAACTAAATTTGAATGGTTTAGAATGAGTTGTTTTTATTATACATAAAAACCCTAAAATATTGACAAATCTGTCAACACATTATTTTTCTCTTTCTTAAAAATCTTTAAAAAAATAAAAAAAAATACTTTAATGAAATATTATTTCAGGAAGATTAGCTGATTTTTAATTTAATAAAGCTGATTTGAAGCAAATATTACTTACTTTTAGTATCTCTATTTTTCTGAGATAAGGTATTATGTACACTATTTACATTATTCGGACTATTGTCCTCATCTTTGTCACCATATTTATTACAGTTGATGACAGTTGTAAAAATAATCTTGGTTATTTTTGTCGACCTTTTTTTTATTTTTTTCATTCAAAAAATTTTAATTATTCAAATTTGGATTTTGTAATGTAACTTTAAAAAAAACATTTCTATTTTCATTTTTGCCTTTGAAAAGTTTTTAAGTTTTTATTTGGCAAAAACTAATAATATATATATATATATATATATATATATATATATATATATATATATATATATATATAAAAGGTGGATGTGTGTGTGTGTAACGAATGCACGGCCGCAATTTTCGACGGATTTGCACCAAAATTTACATGCACATGCTCCAACTTAGTGGGAAGGCCAACACCGACTTTGCATTTCCCAACTCCCATCGATAGTGGAAATAATCGATTTTTTCATGCTTCTACGGCAGTTTTCATGTAGTTTGCGGCCATTTTCCACTGGCCAGAGTGAGAGCCTATAGCTGGCTGCCACGAATAGGCAGGAAGATTCTATTGGCCAGCGTGAGAGCCAACAGCTGACTGACACGAATGTTAACTAGCATGCTAAAAAAAAAAAAAAATAGCTGCATTCGTCACAAGTGGGAAAAATTTAAATCTGCATGGCACTTTACTCCATTTGGCTCATTCGCTTGCTTAAACTCAACGTTGATTCTGATTCCGCAGAACTGGATTGGGTGTGAAAAAGTATTTGTTGTTAACATTCTTTTTTTCATTCGGTTTTTCCAGTTACGAGTCCTTTTTAAAGCTGATCGTTTTGTGTTCATTTTGTTTAGTTCTTTTTCGTAACAGATTTAATGTTTAGTATAGAGTTTAGAAAAATTTCGCAGTGTGAGACAGGCAAGAAGTAGCAACATCAGCACGGCAAAGGGCACTTCTTTAAAGGCAAGGAAGGGCAAAAATATGTCAAGTGATAGCGATTGCTGTATGAGTCGTACGATTTTTGAATCAAGCACGGGCAACGTCGGGCCATGCTGCTAGTATATATATATATATATATATATATATATACGTTGTCAAAAGTTATTTGCTCTGTTTAGGTAATCTAGTTTTTGACAACTTTACTGAGTAGGTAGGTTTATATATACTTTTAATTCTTTACGGTAATTATATAGATTTTTAACTCTTTATTGTAATTATATATATATATTTTTTAAACTCTTTACGGTAATTATATATTTTTTCTTTCTCCCTGTTTTTCTTGTCGTTATTATGTTTTTTGACCGTTTTTATTGTAATGTTGCACTAGGCGGGCTTGCAATCGCATTATCGTGAATGTATTATTCAGATACGTCAGCGTATCGATTGGCCATAACAAACTAAATACAGGAGAAAAAAAGAAATTGAACATAGAATAGACTAGGACAGAAGTAGTTTCGCCTAACACCACAAATTGCCACGAAACCAAAACATCAACTTGAAAACTTTTTCTTAAATAACCTTAAATACCAAAACTGCTTTCATTTAACCACCATAGAGAACTTTTTCTGCCTGCCACCAGAATAGCTGACGCCAGACTCCAAGAGAGCAACACTCGGCGCCTCCTCAGCCTCACGTTTTCCACTGACTTGAAGTGGAGCTACTACATCGAATCAATATCTGCATCTACTGCAAGGAGAGTTTGGTCACTGTGTTGTGACAAAAGGTTTTCTTCGTCAGAGTTCATCTTCCACATTTATAAATCAACCATTCGTCCGTGCATTGAATGCTGTTGCCATATCTGATCTGTTGCTCCTGCTGTACATCTCGAGATTCTTGACAAAATTCAAAGAAGAATCTGTAATGTTATCTATCGGTCCTGACCCGGCATCTCGACTTCAGTCACTTTCTCATCGACGTGACATGGATTTTCTTTGTCTTTTCTTCAAGTATTTTCTGATGAATTTTTTTTCTGATGCCCCGAATAGACAAATTTAAGCGTGCTACTAGATTGGGATCTTGGTCGCACTCTTCTACTGCTTTAATAGCTAAATGCAACCGCCACTTCTACTTCAATATTCTTTTCTCGCACTTCCCACCTGTTGAACTCTGGTACTCCGAATACACGAATTTAAGCGTGCTGCTAGATTGGCATTTAGGTCCCACTTTTTTTGCAGTTGAAAAAGCTAAATGAAACCGCCACTTCTACTCCAACAGTTTCTTTTCTCGCACTTCCCACCTGCGGAACTCCATTCCGCTTACTTGTTTCCCTGATAACTTCTTCCTTTTATGTGCCATACTCCTTCATGACGTAGGCGATCATGAGCCTCCACATCTTCCTGTTCTTTGTAGCTTTTAATAAATGTTGCCTTTTTGTTATTTCTCCTAAATCCTGTTCTGCTATCCACTTACTCAAGCCCATCAAGTATATCACACGCTGCTTTCCCGTGTCCCGCTTTCTCTCTGTATGTCTTGTGAGTATAAGATTTTCCAAGCCCTCCTTCCTCATTACCTGCCACAGAAATTCCAACTGCCTCTTCCTAATGTTAAGTATCAGTCAGTTATGTGCCATGCGTGATACACGCGTAGGCTATCATGTATCTTTCAATACATGACTGACGAGGCAGATTTTCTTCCCGCAGTAGGTTGCCATTTCTTTTTGCAGTAGAACAGTTGCCATCCAAGTCTATAGAACCGGGTCTGTCCAGCTATTTACCCATAGGTGGTGTGGGGGAGAAGAAGAGGATTCATACCTTTCCCACGGGTATTAGCACGCAAATGAATGTAATGGATTCGACCGAAATTCGAACTTGGCTCCAGTCGAATCCATTATAAGTTTCCTTTTTATTTTAATTCTCTTCAAAACCTTGTCGTTGCTCACATCTTCATCCCATGGTATCCTCAGCATTTTTCTGTAAAGCCACATTTCTATTGCTTCAAGTCTCTTCTTCATCTTTGAGAAGATTGTCCAGTATTCACTGCCATACAGGAGGACAGAATATCACAGTCTTTTCTTTGTAACGATTTTTCCTGTCTCTTAATACTCTGCTTAGCTTTTGGAATGCATCTTTGGCCATCCCAATCTTTCTTCGGATTTCAATGTCACACTCTCCTTCCCTCTGTTAGAACATTTTCCAGATATTTAAATTTCTGCACCTGCTTAATTTTAGTATCTCCGATTTGTAATTTGCATTTTGGGCTCATCCTTTTTCTGATAAGCATGCGTTCTGTCTTCTTGTAGTTTATGCTTAATTCTTCTCGATCTCCTTCGCTACCCTTCTGTAGGAAGATTTGTAGTTTCCTTTCCGTGTCTGCTATCAGCACTGTGTCATCTGCATATATCGTTAAGATTATGGCCGCCAATAATGAATCTTGGTAGGACTTCTAATTCTCTCATAATTACTTCGCTGTACAGGTTGCATAAATTTGGCGAGAAGACACATCCTTGCCTTACTCCCCTTACTATTTTTGTATATCTGCTGAACACATTTTCCGTCCGTATGTGTGGAAAAAATGGTGATGAGTCAAAAAGTGCAGTGCTCGCCGGCAGACCAGCTGTTTTTTTTCTTCGGTCGCCTCAAGGAAATGGATTGCGTGACTCTCTTTCTCACTCGGCAGTTGTGAAACAGACACCAACTCAACCGCGCCTACTTCGACTTCCTCTTTGTCCGTCTGTCAATTCGTACGTCCAGCTCTATTGCATGCAGTTCGCCGAATGACTCCCGTCACCCTCGTACTGCTGGCACCCCGCTTTTTATGCTATTCTAATACTGCCAAAATTTGCATGTGTGCAAATATCGCCTCGTTTTGAACGAGATCGGTGCACATAAATTGCGTCTTCAATAGCGGCCATATTTCTTTTTGTCATCACTTTGCAGGCAAGACACGTTCACACTCGTTTCGAATTCTGAGGTAAGTCGTCTTTTGTCACAGTATGCAGGCGGTTTGCTGCCAGCATAGATTCTTGATTATTCTAATGTCTTTCACGAATATGTCAAGATTTCTATGCAGCTCTAACAGATCTTTGCGGCGTACTTTGTTGAACGCCTTTGCGTAGTGTATAAAACATAGGTACACGTTCTTATGCATTTCTATTGCTCTTTCTGATAACATTCTGAGCATAAACATCGCGTTCCTTTTTTTATGTCTTTGAGGAACCCGCGCTGTTCTTGTCCTATCTATGGCCTGATTCTGCTTTGTGCTCTATTCATTATAATTCGGATGATTAGTTTTGTTATGTGGCTCCTTAGGCTGAATGCCCGGTGGAGTTTACATTCGTTTGCGACTGGTTTCTTAGGCAGTGCTATGAAAATAGATCTGCTTAAGTCTTCCAGTATATCACCACTATTCTAGATTTCATTTCTGTAATTTTGACTATGTTGAAATCATCTAAGGCTGCCAGGATCTTTATTACAGTTCCGTCTAGCCCTGCTGCTTTGTTTCTGCTCAATTTGGCCAGTGCAGCTTATGCTTCGGTTTTTAATATTTCCGGTCTGTCGGTATTTCTGTATATTGCCGGTTGTTCTCTTTCGTTGTGGAAGAGATATCCGATATATTCGTTCCATCGCTAAAGTATTTTTTCTTTCTCTTTCACTCCCTGTAACCCTCTGCGTCCCAGTGGCATTTCTGCCTTGCTTGGGGTGAAATGATCAAAAAAAAAAAAAAAACTCGTCAGATCGATATTTTCGTATGGATGCCATGCATAGCGCCAAACCCGTTCAGAAATAACTAAACTGTCAGCTCTATACAACTGTATAAGTCCTGTTCTCTGTGTCGCTTTTTGAATTCCCTCGATCATTTAAGTAGTCGAACGACTCAGGACTTTTGCCATGACTCCAGCCGCCAGTCAATCTCTTCCCCCCAGCTTATGAATTTCTTAAACGGGGAAACTTCTTTAAATCCCTTCTATTTATGTATTCATGATATTAATCATAGTACCATAAATTAAAGGTGTTATTTTTACACTTGGTAATGAAGGTTGTTGAAGTTAATTAAGTTTACCGGCGACGCCGGTGAATTTAGTCTTTCACAAGCACAGAGAAGAATCAAGTCTGATCTTCGACACTTCACCGATATTCTTCTGGATAATGAAACACAAGAACACAACGTGGCGACAAAGGATTGGTGTAGATTGACGGACCAACGGACAGTGACCAAAGTAAACGTGGGATTCAGCGAAGCCCACAGCAACAGAACCACAGTCCGGTCACAGACCGGTCACGGGGGTTTCAGCCAAGAAAAGGACTTTTCAAAGATACGGGAAGAGATTATTTGACTTTCGTACGGTATAGATGGCTTGGTTTGGTTCGTATTGTTTTATGACATATCAACCTCAATGGGTTATTTAATGACGATAAGATTTTAGGATAGTTTCGTATGAATAGAATATGCATTCTTTGAAAAAATCAGTTTGGTTTGGTTTGTTTTGTTTTACGGCATATCAACGTCAATGGGTTATTTAATGCCGACAAGATTTTTAGGATAGTTTCGTATGAATCGAGTATGTTTTCTTTGTAAAAATTAGTTTGGTTTGAATTGTTTTGTTTTACGGCATATCAATCTTAATGGGTTATTTAATGCCGACAAGATTTTTAGGGTAGTTTTGTATGAATAGAATACGTATATAGTGTAACTCGTCTGAACACCTTCAATAGTAATTGTGACAGAGTAGTCAGGAGCTAGCAACATTTCGCCTGTTGGATAAGGGTTGTTTGGTGGAGACTAATTCATCAACCACAAGACCGCGGAATTACTTTTGAACTCTGATGAGGTTGGGCGGGGACACCAGAATGTCACTGTTGTGCTGACTAATGAAATCATGTGACTGGATCTCTCATGCGTAATATTACATGTTTATTTAACTGTTGAGTCTGTCAATTAATATCGGTGAATGGGTGTCTAGCGTCGGTGTCTTCTCTGAACGTGGACTCTATATTTTCGTGTGAATGTAAGAGAGGATCTCGTCCATCTGGGCTGGGTGTTCATATATCTGCTTGTCATCGAATTTTTTTCCCCACGTGTGGAAATTACGGTCCCAGCTGGATCAATTACGTGTTCACCCGTCGGTGTCAACCACTGACATCCAATTAAATGTGGATCTGTATTTAATGGCATTTTGGTTTCCCTCACCTCATCAGCCCGTCGATGCAGCTGACTTCTCTGATGTCAGTCACAATGAGTGTAAAGTTTATTCTAGCATCGTTTGGAGTGGGCCACATAAAACGCTACTATGGAGGAAAGAGAGAGAGAGAGAGAGAGAGAGAGAAAGGGAGAGGGCTTTGACATTTCTGAAGTTATATAGGAAAAGGAAAAGTTAATTTTCCGAAACTGAAAAACATATTCAGGTAACTAAAAACATTACGAACAAAGAAAAGTCTTATCCATTGCAATGTAATGTCTGCCTTCCTATATAACAGTGAAAGTTTGACAGTCTCCTCACAAATGAAGAAAAGATTTGAAGTGACAGAATATTGAGAATACCATGGACAGAGCATGTAAGAAATGAGGAAGTTTTAAGGAAACTAGAAACTATTAAGAAATCGTTACTAGAAGTTGAAATTTTGGGGACACGTAATGCGGAAGGAAGGTTTGGAGAAGCTAACACTCGCAGGGCGCATTGAAAGCAGGACGAAAACGACAGGTAAATTTACTCGACAATATCTAAGCAAGTGTGTTGCAACTGAGTTATCAAATACAACAATAGAAAACCGGAATTGGTTTAACAACAAATTTATTATCTTTTAGTACAGGGAAACATAATGTAGAATAGAAACTAGGGACTATGTTTAGCCGTGTATGACTAATTGTTTTCGGTAAAAGCTACTGCTCCTCCTGCTACTCCTCTTGATGTCGGAGCATTTTCATGTTTTTTGTTTGACGGACAAGTCCAAAATTGGAGGAAAATAGTCCCCCTCTCAACAAAATGGATAGCAGAACAAGTGCCACAAAGGCGAAGAAAACTTGTGGAATAGAAAGTATTGTTTAGTGCAACAAAAGAAGGAAGCTTTGGAGAGCCATGATCCCCCATGTCCTGAAGGAAAATTACACACAAAGACATACACACGTGCAAGCATAAACATATTCAAAGGGACAGGCAGTCAAAGGGACAAACAGAGATTATATATTAGGGATAATGTCTTTTTCTAGATCGAGAGCTGTGTGGTATTTGTAATCGTTTTTATCTGCATACAAGACGATAAATATAGACAGTGAATGGCAGTGGAGATATATGGACGGAATAAAAGTTTCTATACTTTCTAACCGTTCAATGACTGTCATGACTGACAATAGGCATATCAGCTTTTATTTTCTATTTTTGTTCTTGTTGTTACTGCTACCTAGGCGGTAAAAGAATGAATAAACCTTTTTACGTTTATCGTCAGGTTCACCCTCCATCCCGATCTTTTGAACAGGAGTAGAGGTTTATCCCTTGTTTCCTATTTAGGCTTGGGTTTCCGGTTCCTTCTAATGTCTACTTCAACTCTGTACTTCTATTGTCTACGCATAAACACTGAAATTTTATTTATTATTTACTTTTTTCAATAAGAGTAGATAGGCTCGGCTATCGTCCTGTTCACACTCCTCCCAGGTTTTTTGAACGGAAGTAGAGTTTTATTCACTGTTTAGGATTCGGTTTCCGGTTCCTCCATTCGTTTTTTTTTTCATTCTCTTTCATTCGCAGTAACCTCTTTGCATCTTAGGGGAATTACCACCTTGTTTGGGGTGAAGTGATTAAAACAAAGTTCTTCACTCACTCACTTTATTATGACATACCAGTGCCAACGAGACATTTTTTTTTATCCTGCATCTACACACACTGAAGGGTTCTTGGGGCATCACTGATATTGCAATAATAGTAGCAAGATTGCCTGAGGAATAAAATCTTTTTCTAGCTGATTTTGAATCGTCTTTTACCTACATTGTCTCATGAAGGCTAAAGGGCCTAGTCTGTCCGTCTATTTCATTCGTAGCTAGAAGAAGAATAAACGGATTCATGCCTTCTCCGAAGGCATTAGTGCGAAAAGAACGCAAACAGTCTCGATCGGGATTTGAAACTGACTCACCGATTTCATTTTTCCGCGCCGATAACCTTACTAAATCGCAAGGATTAGCAGATTCATACCTTTTTCCAAAGAAAATATAGATAAACTTTGTCGATTTCGTCTTTGTCCTTCAGTAACAGTATTGCGAAAAACACGAAACCACATTCCTGAACTATGTACTATCGACAGATACATTGAAGAAAGTGTTTCGTCATCGGCATGTCACAATGATCTACGAAGAAAGAAGCAGCGGCAGAACATTTAAATAAACCATTACTATAGTACTGTGTCATCACCCGGCCAGTAAGGACAATAAAAAGCTGATTGTTACATTGTCAGCCTTGACAGTGGCTAGTCAATCAGTCACTCGCTGGTCAAGCTACCACGGGTATGTGGCAAATTGTTAAAGTATAAGACCTGTTGACTTGTAGACCTTTAACGATGTTCTGTGACACCTTCGGGCTTGATCGGATTACACTGTGGTGAACTATTACTATTGTTGTAGTTAAAGAAGATATTGCGCCGGCAAACTCTTGGTCGACACATTGCGAGGCAGTCCATAATAGAATGCACTTCGTACACCCGTTTGTTCGAGAGAGAAAGACAAAGACAGACATGCAGAGAGCGAGAGATTATGAGATACAGGGAAAGAAAGAGATATAAACTAAAAGATGTATATGAGAGAGAGAGAGAGAGAAAGAGAGAGAGAGAGAGAGAGAGGGAGAGTGAGAGAGAGATGAGATAAGGGGACAAAAAGAGATATAAACTAAAAGACGTAAGGGTGATAGAGAGAGAGAGAGATTAGATAAGAGGTGAGAAGTGTAAAGGTGAGAGAGAAAAATCTCGAAGAAATTAAAAGAGAAAAATAGAGAGTGTGAGTGAGTGTATATATACGTGAAAAGAGAAAAAGAGGAGGACAGGGAGAATAAGAGAGACAGAGATAGAGAGAGTGAGAGAGACAGAGATAGAGAGAGTGAGAGAGACAGAGATTGTGGGAGATCCATACGTGGAAATGATAAGATAAAAGAACTGAGGAATATTTCGTAATGGGAATAGTTAGGAAAAAAAAGGAAAACTATTTCTAGCAGATCTGAGAGACGGGAATAAAGGAATTTAGATAGATAGATAGATAGATAGATAGATAGATAGATAGATAGATATGCGTTTGAACGCACTGGGAAAGAATAGATAGATAGATAGATAGATAGATAGATAGATAGATAGATAGATATGAACAGATTGAGATAGATAAATTGATAAATATGTCCAGATTAAGATAGAGATATAGATACGAACAAAATGAGATACATAGATAGATAGATAGATATGAACAGACAGATAGAAGATAGATAGGTATGAGCAGACATAGATAGATAGATAGATAGATAGATAGATAGATATAGATAGAACAGATTTGAGATAGATAAATATGAATGGATATATATATATATATATATATATATATATATATATATATATATATAGAGAGAGAGAGAGAGAGAGAGAGAGAGAGATAGATAGATAGATAGATAGATAGATAGATAGATAGATAAGTATGAACAAATTGAGATAGATAAATAGATAAATATGTCCAGATAGATAGATAGATAGATAGATAGATAGATAGATGACAAAGGATGAAGAGAGAATGGAGAAGAGGATGCCGGTTACGCTCGCTGCAAGCCGATGCGACTTTTGATAGAAGCCTCAATTTGTGTACCTAAGAATTGTTAAAATGAGTATTGTTCAAGGAAACGGGAACAGTAATGGTGTGTGATCTATTTTGTGTTAATCAATGCATTCTTCCGAACACCTCCACACACACACACACACACTCGCACACACACACACACACACTCGCACACACACACTCGCACACAAATACGCACGTGCGAAGAAACACACTCGCATACAAATGTGCATGTGCGGGGAAAATAGTATAGATCGGTGCATACACATACCCAAGCACGTAAATATTTTATCCATACACACATATATGCGGAAAGGAAGGAAGATTTCATGACCCGAGCAAGAAGAGATTCTGTCGCCACCCCCAAAGTAGGATGCTGAGTTTTTTGGTCAGATTCTAAGAAGAGAGTCGGTTTAAGAACTTTCCAGCAATCTTTTTTGGTGGGATTCAAATTTTCTTTTTTTTTCTTCATTACAAATTACAGGCACTTGGAGACAAATAGTCAATCTGCAAAGCTACTCTGAGTAATTAGTTCGTTCGAAGTGAACTTATAAATGCCATTACGGTATAGAAAGGCAAATCGGGAAATAATTTGATGGCTGAAAAATGATGCTATGAATTCATAGAAATAAAAGATTTTGTCAATAAAATAAAGAGAAAAAAAAAGAAAAGAAGAAGAAAAATAATTAGTGAAGAAAGAAAAAAACAAAACAAAGATTACCAAAACAAAAAATGAAGAAAGAAAGACAAAGTGATAATAAGTGAAACAGAAAGAGAAGGAAAAAGTAAAATGAAGCAAAAAGGAAAAAGAGAAATAGAATAGAAACAGAAGAAATAAAAAGAAAGAACGAAAGAAAAGAAGGAAGAAATATATAAAAAAAGAAAATGGACAAAAAAAATGTAGAAACGCTCAAGCTAAAAGAGAAGAAAAGGAAGAAAAAAAAGAAAGAAAAGGAAACAAACAAAACAGAAAGTGACAGAAAAAAAAGAGAGGCGAAAAGGGAAGAAAATGCAACAGAAAATCACAAGGGAAAAAGGATGAGAAAGAAAGATATGGATGAAGAATAGTCAATATACAATAAAGAAGAAGAAGAAGAAGAAGAAGAAGAAGAAGAAGAAGAAAGACTTAAGTAGAAAAAGGTTATAAATGAAAAAGAAAACACAAAAAAGAAAGAAAAACGAAACAAAGAAAAAAACGAATGTCAAAAAACGAGAAACAGACAAAATAGAAAACTGAAAATTAAGAAAATGGGAGGGGGAGAAGGGAAAAAAGGCAAACAAATTCAGGGAATGAAAGAAAGATATGGCAAAACAAAAGTAGACAAGCAAGAAGAAGAAGAAGAAGAAGGAGGAGGAGGAGGAGGAAGAGGATGATGATGATAATAATAATAATAATAATAATAATAAGAAGAAGAACGTCAAAAACAACAAAGACAACAACAACGTTAATGAAGAAGGAAGAGTAATAAAAAAGGAAGAGTAGTAAAGAATAGACAGTAATAAAGAATGAAGAGTAATGTAGACAGGGAGTAATAAAAAAGTGAGAGTGATAAAGAAGAAAGAGTAATAAAGAAGAGAGGCTAATAAAGAAGAGAGAGTAATAAAGAAGAGAGGCTAATAAAGAAGAGAGAGTAATAAAGAAAGAAAAGTAAAACAAGTTGAGAGTAATAAAGGAGAGTAATAAAGAAGCGAGATTAATAAAGAAAGTGAATAATAAAGAAGGAAGAGTAATAAAGAAGATAGAATAATAAAGAAGAGTGAGTAATAAAGAAGGGAGAGTAATAATGACGAGAGAGTAATAAAGAAGGGAGAGTGATAAAGAATAGAGAGTAATAAAGAAGGGAGAGCAATAAGAGTAATAAAGAAGAGAAAATAATAAAGAATAGTGAGTGATAAAGAAGGAAGAGTAATAAAGAAGAAAGTGTAATAAAGAATAGAGAGTAATAAAAAAGGAAGAGTAATAAAGAATAGAGAGTAATAGAGAGTAATAAAGAAGGAAGAGTAATAAAGAAGGGTAAGTAATAAAGGCTTTCTTCATTCGTTTTCGGATTAAAAGAAAGATAAAATAAAAATTGAAAGAATTGTGGTTGAAATAATCTTTGGATAAATAAATAAGAGGATTGAATGTCGGCGATAATCTTTCGAGGATAATCAGAGATTTGGGTTATGCAATCAGAAATGGAATAAACGGAAAAGAAAGAGGAAAGCATTCCCCATTTTCGTCTCATCTTTCTTATTTTTGCCTTCGCCATCTTTTTTTATTCCTTCTAGACTTTGACCGACATTTTGTTGCCAGTCTCAAAGCTGCTAGCTTGCACAAGTATACAAATATCAGAATATGAAATTAGGACATTCACTGATCATTTTATAGACAGACAGATATGAATCGCCTGGGATAGATCGATCAGTAGATTGTTAGATAAGCTTATTGATCGATATGAATAGGTTGAGATAGCTCGATCTTATATGTGCCAATATCTTTTCAAGCCGTTGGCGATCATGGTTTTCCAGAATTTTCTGTCTTTTTCAGTTCCTAGTGTGTTTTTGTGCTATCTTTCCTAAACCCTGTTCTGGTAACAATTTTTCGTTTGGTAGGTTCTATGTGCTGCGTCCCTTTTGGACGTGGGCGATCGTGACTCTCCACAGCTTCCTATCTTTTTTAAATCTCAGCAAAACTTGTCGTTTCACTATCACTTCGACGCTCTCTCGATCTACGCGGGATTGTTAGGTTACTTATAGCTTTCCCCTGTCCTTCTTGTTCTGTTAGTGATAAATTTTCCAAGCCATTATTCCACACTATGTGCCCTAGAGAATTGTCTTTTCCTGATATTAAGTATAAATGATCTTTTTGATTTTATTTCCTCCAAATTTCGCCGTTGCCCACGTATTCAGTCCATGGTATTCTTAGCCTTTTTATGTAGAAACACGTTTCAGTTGTTTCAAGTCTCTTCCTCTGTGAGGAGATTGTCCAGCATTCACTGCCATATAGGAGAACTGCTATTACATAACAGTTCAGTAAGCTTTGCTTCATTTACATTATTCGGACTATTGTCCTCATCTTTGTCGCCATATTTATTACAACGTTTCGGCTGTTGTACGCTCCGGCCTTCTTCAGGTGGTTGGAATGTCGAACTGAACCCTTTATTTCGCTCACTGGGGTAAAACTGTTTCTAGTTCCACGTGCCATGTTTTTTAATGGATGTCAGTTATCAGTTATCTCCTGTTAATTTTCCCTCTGAAAGTACTCCACTGCCTTAATGACACATGGTACTGTGGATAAAGGCGTTGGTTAGATCCAGTGACAGGGCCCAAAAGAGTGTGAGTTCAATACCCGGTTAAGGCAGTAGTGAACTTTCAGAGGGGAAATTAACAGGAGATAACTGATAACTGACATCCATTAAACATGGCACGTGGAACTAGAACAGTCTACCCCAGTGAGCGAAATAAAAGGTTCAGTTCGACATTCCAACCACCTGAAGAAGGCCGGAGCGTACAATGGCTGAAACGTTGTAATAAATATGGCGACAAAGATGAGGAAAATAGTCCGAATAATGTAAATAATATACATAATACCTCATCTCAGAAATATAGACAGAAGCTTTGCTTTGTTTCCAACGAAATTGTCTTGCCTCTTAATACTTTGTTTAGCTTTTATAATGCATCTTTCGTTATCCCAATGCACCTTCAGATTTCAGTGTCGCACTTTACGTCGTCTGTTAAAACACATCCTAGATATTTAAATTTTGTACTTGCTTGCTTTTGGTATTTCCAATTTGTAAGTTTCATGTTGGGCTGTTCCTTTGCGGCCGTCTTCAGGTGATATACATTGGAATTTTGACACGCCCCCTTTATTTAGTCCACGGGGGTAGAATGTTCTAATTCCACATACCGTGCCTTTGGATATTTTAATTTAAGTTAATTCCCTTTAATTACATCAACTTACAACATTTTTTGTTCCTTCTGTTGTGGTCACAACTCTTTGGGACAAGTCACTTTTGGAACAATCAACCAACGCTTTTATCCACATGGCTCAGTGGATATTATTGACATATTCACGACGTTTCGGCCATTGTACGTTCCGGCCTTCTTCTTGGAGACACATGGCCCAGTGGATGAAAGTATTGGTTAATTAATCCAAAAGTGATCAATTTTTTTATATGTAATTAATATTCAAATTGTTATAGTTTGGGATTAAATTATATGTTATCTATTTTAAATAATTGGTTATGAATTTAACCGTTTTCATTAATATTTTTATAGCTATGCATGTTAGTTTGGGATAGAAATAATTCTTTTAGGAATGGAGATATTTGAAAAGGGACGCTGATTTATATTTTGATAAGATTCGATAACGGCACTCTCAAGGATTTTCCTTCTAAATAACACGTAACAGATGAGAGCTACTGAACTTGGGGAATCTGTTTTCTCGAAAAATTGTTTTAAGAGAAAAATCTTATAAATTTCAAACGAAAGCAGTACAACCTGCTCGGTCACTGAATGCCGAATGTTTCCTTATAAGGAAATGATTACTATTACCATTACTATATCTACTTCTTTCTTTCTTTCTTTCTTTCTTTTTCTATAATTTTCCCTTCTTTATCATTTGTCATATCTACGTTTTTCTTTCTTATCTATCATTTTTCTTTCTTAATTATTTGTTATATCTACGTTTTTCTTATTTGCTTTCTGTTTCTCTGTCTTTCTTTCTGTCTCTCTGTCTTTCTTATCTATCATTTTTCTTTCGATATCATTTGTCATGTCTACGTCTTTCTTTCTTTTTTTTCTTACCAATCATTTTTCTCTCTTTATAATTTGAAATAGCTACGACTTTCTTTCTTTCTTATCTATCAATGTTTTTCTTTATCATTTGTCATATCTACATCTTTCTTTCTTTCTTTCTTTCTTTCTTTCTTTCTTTCTTTCTTTCTTTCTTTCTTCCTTATCTATCATTTTTCTTTCTTTATCATTTGTCATATCTACGTCTTTCTTTCTTTCTTTCTTTCTTTTCTTTCTTTTCTTTCTTCACTAAGTCCAAAAGGAAATATCTTGTTCAAATACAAGAAATATATCCTAGCATCAGTCATTTTTAACGAAAAACAGATTAAAATCATTTGCGACATTGAAATCAACACCCAGTGGAGACAGTCTGTTTCATGTTTAAACGCAATAGTCAGAGTGTTGTCTTCAATGTTCACTTTTATATCTAAATACGGTCTATCTCTGTATCAAACACTTTAACTCATAAATATAGCATATCTTAAAACTATATTTTCTATCATATATATATATATATATATATATATATATGTATATATATATGTATGTATGTATATATATATATATGTAAAAGCATAGTTAGTACTATACATACATACATATATATATATATATATATATAGTACTTCTCATAACTTTATATATATATATATATATATATATATATATATATATATATATATATATATATATATATCTATATACTATATGCTTTTATATATATATATATATATATATATATATATATATTTATATATATACATATATATATATTGATACCTATTCTATTAATTACCGCATAGCTGGGAGGGAAGAAAAGTTGAATTCATACCATTCCAAAGCGTATTTGCGAGTAAGTAGATACAACGAACATGATTGGAACTGGAAATCGGAGAGCCGATTTCCAAATCCGAGCCATTCTCCATTACACCACCCGCACATCCAAGCTTAGAGCACCTGGTATTCCCAAATGGTTACCCATCTACGTACTGACCAGGCTCACTGTTGCTTAAGTTCTGTGATCGTACGAAAACCAGTGTTTCAACGTAATATGAACTTAAGCCATAAACACACGCACATACGTACACACACACACACACACACACACACACATATATATATATATATACATATATATATTTGTATAAAACAAAAGTTTTTAATCTAAATTTCGTTATATATTTATATAATTTCTTCTTACTCAAAAAACTTAATCATTAAAAAATTCTTTGAATAAATGTTATATATATATATATATATATATATATGCATACACACACACTTATATATATACACATGTGTGTATACATTCACACACACGCACACAGACATATATATATAAGGAAAGAAAGAGAGCGAGAAAGAAAGAAAGAAAGAAAAGAAAGAAAGAAAGAAGGAAAGAAAGAATACAAACAAAAGGTTTGTTACTTAGCTGATAGATGTTACCTTCAGAATCTCAACTCCATTTTCGTAGATAAACACTCCGGGAATCACTTCGTCCACTCGTCAGGAGGTATCAGCAATTGACTGTTTATATTTGTCTAGTTTTCTTTTTATATGACGTTTTCATTGTAGCAAATCATTTTTCATACTGTATGCGTGCGTTCTTGCGCCTGTCTTCTCGTATGTGCTTACGTTTAGAATGTCATGGTTATACGACGAGTGTCGTAAATGTTTTAGTACTGACTATGTTTTCTTTACAGTGATTTCAAAGTATTGTTTTAATCGCCTTCTTATAATATATTGTCTAAGTATAATTTGTTTCCACAAAATTAGAACATTTTAATTTCCCTTGACGTTTTCATGTAATTTAAATTTGAAAGCTTAAGGAGAAAAAAGTAGATTTTACCGACGACCAGCAAAATTTTGAACCGGAAATTGATGCTTCCCATTGTTATTGAAACTCCGACTCTGGTATAAATGAAATCTATGACCGTGTGCAAAACGTCAACCATAATTAGCATCCAGCGGTCAAAATCTACCACTTCATTCACAGCCACTCAACCTCCGGCGTCTTCCTTAACGGTGTCCACTCGGTCCGAACCGAACTTAGGGGTAACCACGCTCCCTGAGTACCCGCAGATTATTTCGACCGGTCAACTGGTCAAGTCCTGCTCGCTGCCCACGCTGTGTTAGTTTTTAGATCCAGTAAGCGGAGTGTTGTCCATATGTTCACGGTCGACTGGGGATGTGGACACGGCTGTGAGAGTTGGTGGTAGGAAGTTTAGAATATGGCAAAATAAAGCAAGAAATAATATCTGCAGAAGCCGGACAACAATGGGGGAAATATTGACGTCTTTTATATAAGAAGATAACATCAGAACAGAGGTTACAGGGAGAATAAAAACATTTAAAATAAATGAGAAAAGTAAAAGTAAAAGACAAAATGCATCCAGCGATTCCCAACAGAGAGAGGGTTTGTGTGATAAACGCGTATTGAATCGCCTGGGGTAGGTTTATGACTAATAGTCCAGTCTCATACAGAATTCTCAGAACAGGGGCAGTCTTCTTTCTCTCCTCCAAAATTCTCCCGCAAATCTCTCGACTCACTGCAATGATAGTCCCCTGACTCTCTCGACTACAGTCTCTTTCCCCGACTTTCTCGGCTACAGTCTCTTTCCCCGACTCTGCTTTATTAGCAAAATATCGAGTTAACATAGAAAAAGGATCAGCTGATCCCAATTGACCCTCGGCCCGGCACGCAGCTACCAGGAGTGCCAAAAACTATCTCTTGACATGTAAAGCGATTCTCCAATTATTTACCTTATCTCAATCACGAATTCTCACTTCACCAAAATTATACTTTGGGATATCTAAACATTAATTCAAATTTTAATCAAAACAAATATTGTTAAACAAAACCAAGTATCTCGCCCATCCCCATTGTTTGCTAGTAACCCAGGTTTAAAACATCGCCTCCTGCCCTGAGATGGTGTATCTCATCAGTAAACACACATCTTAACCCAAATTGTACTTTGATATATAAACACCGATTCTATTTCCAGTCAATAAAAGTTATATGTGCGTGTGTGCGTTCATGTCGTGTGTATGTGTATGTGTATGTCTCTCTCTGTTACAAACAGTGGGCTGCTGAGTGTTGTCTGAGAAGAAAAATCTCCTGAAGATGAACTGTGGTCAGAAATGCCCGTAGAAGCAATCATTGGTGACAAACAAATTAAAAATAATCAGGTGATTTTATTAAGCATTTTGAGATTACAACCTGTAGAACAATCCTCGTAAGTACTTCATCATTATGATTTAATTTAAAACCTTTGGAATAATCCTCGTAAGTAGTCCATCATTATAAATTAATTTAAAACCTTTGGAACAATCATCGTAAATAGTCGATCATTATGATTTAATGATAACCTTTGGAACAATCCTCGTAAGTATTCCATCATTACGATTTAATTTAAAACCTTTGGAAAAATCCTCGTAAGTAGTCCATCATTATGATTTAATTTAAAACCTTTGGAAAAATCCTTGTAAGTAGTCTATCATTATGATTTAATTAAAAAATTTGGAACAATCCCCCTAAGTAGTCGATGATTATGATTTAATTTAAAACCTTTGGAATAATCCCCGTAAGTAGTCCATCATTATAATTTAATTTAAAACATTTGGAACAATTCTCGTAGGTAGTTCATCATTATGATTTAATTTAAAACCTTTGGAACAATCCTCGAAAGTAGTCCATCATTATGATTTAATTTAAAACCTTTGGGAGAATCCTCGTAAGTAGTCCATCATTATAATTTTATTTAAAACATTTGGAACCATCCTCGTAAGTAGTCCATCATTATGATTTAATTTAAAACCTTTGGAACAATCCTCGAAAGTAGTCCATCATTATGATTTAATTTAAAACCTTTGGGAGAATCCTCGTAAGTCGTCCATGATTATGATTTAAATTAAAGCCTTTGGAACAATCCTCATAAGTTGTCCATCATTATAATTTAATTTAAAACATTTGGAACAATCCTCGTAAGTAGTACATCATTATGATTTAATTTAAAACCTTTGGAAAAATCCTTGTAAGTAGTCTATCATTATGATTTAGTTAAAACCTTTGGAATAATCCCCGTAAGTAGTCCATCATTATGATTTAATTTAAAACCTTTGGAACAATCCTCCTAAGTAGTCGATGATTATGATTTAATTTAAAACATTTAGAACAATCCTCGTAAGTAGTTCATCATTATCTTTTAATTAAAAAACCTTTGGAACAATCATCGAAAGTAGTTCATCATTACGATTTAATTTAAAACCTTTGGAACAATCTTCGTAAATAGTCCCTGATTATGAATTAATTTAAAGCCTTTAGAATAATGCTCGTAAGTAGTCCATCATTATGGTTTTATTTAAAACCTTTGGAGCCATCCTCGTAAGTAGTCCATCTTTATGATTCAATTTGAAACCTTTGGAACAATCCTCCTAAGTAGTCGATGATTATGATTTAATTTAAAACCTTTGGAATAATCCCCCTAAGTAGTCAATCATTATGATTTAATTTAAAACCTTTGGAACCATCCTCGTATGTAGCCATCATTATGATTTAATTTAAAACCTTTGGAACAATTTAAGCAGTCCATCATTATGAGTTAATTACAAACCTTTGGAGGAATCCTCGTAAGTAGTCCATCATTATGATTCAATTTGAAACCTTTGGGACAATCATCGTAATATTCCATCATTATGATTTAATTTAAAACCTTTGGATCAATTCTCGTAAGTAGCCCATCATTATGATTTTATTTATAACCTTTGGAACAATCCTCGTAAGTAGTCCATTATTATGATCTAATTTAAAAAATTTAGAACAATCCTCGTAAGTGGTCCATCATTATGATTTAATTGAAAATCTTTGGAAAAATCCTCGTAAGTAGTCCATCATTATGATTTAATTTAAAACCTTTGGAACAATTCTCGTAAGTAGTCCAACATTATGATTTAACTTAAACCCTTTGGGAGAATCCTCGTAAGTAGTCCATTATTATGATTTAATTTAAAACCTTTGGAAAAATCCTCGTAAGTTGTTCATCATTATGTTTTAATTAAAAAACCTTTGGAACAATCCTCGAAAGTAGTCCAACATTATGATTTAATTTAAAACCTTTGGGAGAATCCTCGTAAGTAGTCCATCATTAAGATTTTATTTAAAAACATTGGAACAATCCTCGTAAGTAGTCCATCATTATGACTTAATTTAAAACCTTTGGAACAATCCTCGTAAATAGTCCCTCATTATGATTTAATTTAAAGCCTTTGGAATAATCCTCGTAAGTAGTCCATCATTATGGTTTTATTTAAAACCTTTGGAGCCATACTCGTAAGTAGTCCATCATTATGATTAATTTTGAAACCTTTGGAACAATCCTCGAAAGTAGTCCAACATTATGATTTAATTTAAAACATTTGGAACAATCCTCGTAAGTATTCCATCATTATGATTTAATTTAAAACCTTTGGAAAAATCCTTGTAAATAGTCTATCATTATGATTTAATTAAAATCTTTGGAATAATCCCCGTAAGTAGTCCATCATTATGATTTAATTAAAACCTTTGGAACAATCCTCATAAGTAGTCGATGATTATGATTTAATTTAAAACATTTAGAACAATCCTCGTAAGTAGTTCATCATTATATTTTAATTAAAAAACCTTTGGAACAATCCTCGAAAGTAGTCCATCATTACGATTTAATTTAAAACCTTTGGAACAATCTTCGTAAATAGTCCCTCATTATGAATTAATTTAAAGCCTTTAGAATAATGCTCGTAAGTAGTCCATCATTATGGTTTTATTTAAAACCTTTGGAGCCATCCTCGTAAGTAGACCATCATTATGATTCAATTTGAAACCTTTGCAACAATCCTCCTAAGTAGTCGATGATTATGATTTAATTTAAACATTTGGAATAATCCCCCTAAGTAGTCAATCATTATGATTTAATTTAAAACCTTTGGAACCATCCTCGTATGTAGTCCATCATTATGATTTAATTTAAAACCTTTGGAACAATTTAAGCAGTTCATCATTATGAGTTAATTACAAACCTTTGGAGCCATCCTCGTAAGTAGTCCATCATTATGATTTAATTTGAAACCTTTGGAACAATCATCGTAATATTCTACCATTATGATTTAATTGAAAAACTTTGGAACAATTCACGTAAGTAGTCCATCATTAGGATTTAATTTAAAACCATTGGAATAATCCTCGTAAGTAGTCCATCATTATGATTTTATTTAAAACCTTTGGAACAATCCTAGTAAGTAGTCCATTATTATGATCTAATTTAAAACATTTAGAACAATCCTCGTAAGTGGTCCATCATTATGATTTAATTGAAAATCTTTGGAAAAATCCTCGTAAGTAGTCCATCATTATGATTTAATTTAAAACCTTTGGAACAATCCTCGAAAGTAGTCCATTATTATGATTTAATTTAAAACATTTGGAAAAAAACTCGTAAGTAGTTCATCATTATGTTTTAATTAAAAAAGCTTTGGAACAATTCTCGAAAGTAGTCCAACATTATGATTTAATTTAAAATCTTTGGGAGAATCCACGTAAGTAGTCCATCATTAAGATTTTATTTAAAAACATTGGAACAATCCTCGTAAATAGTCCCACATTATGATTTAATTTAAAGCCTTTGGAATAATCCTCGTAAGTAGTCCATCATTATGGTTTTATTTAAAACCTTTGGGGCCATACTCGTAAGTAGTCCATCATTATGATTCAATTTGAAACCTTTGGAACAATCCTCGAAAGTAGTCCAACATTATGATTTAATTTAAAACATTTGGGAGAATCCTCGTAAGTAGACCATCATTATGATTTAATTTAAAACTTTTGGAACAATCCTCGTAAATATTCCCTCATTATGATTTAATTTAAAGCCTTTGGAATAATCCTCGTAAGTAATCCATCATTATGTTTTTATTTAAAACCTTTGGAGCCATCCTCGTAAGTAGTCCATCATTATGATTCAATTTGAAACCTTTGGAAAAATCCTCGTAAGTAGTCCATCATTATGATTTCATTTAAATACTTTGGAACAATCCTCGCAATTAGTCCATCACTATGATTTAATTTAAAACCTTTGGAACAATCCTCGTAAGTAGTCCATCATTATGATTCAATTTGAAACCTTTGGAACAATCCTCGAAAGTAGTCCAACATTATGATTTAATTTAAAACGTTTGGGAGAATCCTCGTAAGTAGACCATCATTATGATTTAATTTAAAACTTTTGGAACAATCCTCGTAATATATTCCCTCATTAAGATTTAATTTAAAGCCTTTGGAATAATCCTCGTAAGTAATCCATCATTATGTTTTTATTTAAAACCTTTGGAGCCATACTCATAAGTAGTCCATCATTATGATTCAATTTGAAACCTTTGGAAAAATCCTCGTAAGTAGTCCATCATTATGATTTCATTTAAAAACTTTGGAACAATCCTCGTAATTAGTCCATCACTATGATTTAATTTAAAACCTTTGGAACAATCCTCGTAAGTAGTCCATCATTATGGTTTTATTTAAAACCTTTGGAGCCATCCTCTCAAGTAGTCCATCATTATGATTCAATTTGAAACCTTTGGAACAATCCTCGAAAGTAGTCCATTATTATGATTTAATTTAAAACATTTGGAAAAATCCTCGTAAGTAGTTCATCATTATGTTTTAATTAAAAAACCTTTGGAACAATTCTCGAAAGTAGTCCAACATTATGATTTAATTTAAAATCTTTGGGAGAATCCTCGTAAGTAGTCCATCATTAAGATTTTATTTAAAAACATTGGAACAATCCTCGTAAATAGTCCCACATTATGATTTAATTTAAAGCCTTTGGAATAATCCTCGTAAGTAGTCCATCATTATGGTTTTATTTAAAACCTTTGGGGCCATACTCGTAAGTAGTCCATCATTATGATTCAATTTGAAACCTTTGGAACAATCCTCGAAAGTAGTCCAACATTATGATTTAATTTAAAACGTTTGGGAGAATCCTCGTAAGTAGACCATCATTATGATTTAATTTAAAACTTTTGGAACAATCCTCGTAAATATTCCCTCATTATGATTTAATTTAAAGCCTTTGGAATAATCCTCGTAAGTAATCCATCATTATGTTTTTATTTAAAACCTTTGGAGCCATCCTCGTAAGTAGTCCATCATTATGATTCAATTTGAAACCTTTGGAAAAATCCTCGTAAGTAGTCCATCATTATGATTTCATTTAAAACTTTTGGAACAATCCTCGCAATTAGTCCATCACTATGATTTAATTTAAAACCTTTGGAACAATCCTCGTAAGTAGTCCATCATTATGATTCAATTTGAAACCTTTGGAACAATCCTCGAAAAAGTAGTCCAACATTATGATTTAATTTAAAACGTTTGGGAGAATCCTCGTAAGTAGACCATCATTATGATTTAATTTAAAACTTTTGGAACAATCCTCGTAATATATTCCCTCATTATGATTTAATTTAAAGCCTTTGGAATAATCCTCGTAAGTAATCCATCATTATGTTTTTATTTAAAACCTTTGGAGCCATACTCGTAAGTAGTCCATCATTATGATTCAATTTGAAACCTTTGGAAAAATCCTCGTAAGTAGTCCATCATTATGATTTCATTTAAAAACTTTGGAACAATCCTCGTAATTAGTCCATCACTATGATTTAATTTAAAACCTTTGGAACAATCCTCGTAAGTAGTCCATCATTATGGTTTTATTTAAAAACTTTGGAGCCATCCTCTCAAGTAGTCCATCATTATGATTCAATTTGAAACCTTTGGAACAATCCTCGTAAGTAGTCCATCATTATGATTTTTTTTAAAACCTTTGGAATAATCCTCCTAAGTAGTCGATGATTATGATTTAATTTAAAACCTTTGGAATAATCCCCGTAAGTAGTCCATCATTATGATTTAATTTAAAACATTTGGAACAATCCTCGTAAGTAGTCCATCATTATAATTTTATTTAAAACATTTGGAACCATCCTCGTAAGTAGTCCATCATTATGTTTTAATTTAAAACCTTTGGAACAATCCTCGTAAGTAGTCCATCATTATGATTTAATTTAAAACCTTTGGGAATAATCCCCGTAAGTCGTCCATGATTATGATTTAATTTAAAACCTTTGAATAATCCCCATAAGTTGTCCATCATTATAATTTAATTTAAAACATTTGGAACAATCCTCGTAAGTAGTTCATCATTATGATTTTATTTAAAACCTTTGGAATAATCCTCGTAAGTAGTCCATCATTATGGTTTTATTTAAAAACTTTGGAGCCATCCTCGTAAGTAGTCCATCATTATGATTTAATTAAAACCTTTGGAATAATCCTCGCAATATTCCATCATCATGATTTAATTTAAAACCTTTGGAATAATCCTCGTAAGTAGTCCATCATTATGGTTTAATTTGAAACCTTTGGCACAATCCTCGTAATTAGTCCATCATTATGTTTTAATTTGAAACCTTTGGGACAATCCTTGTAAGTAGTCCATCATTATGATTTAATTTAAAACCTTTGGAACAAAGTCGTAAATATTCCTTCATGATGATTCAATTTAAAACCTTTGGTATAATCCTCGTAAGTAGTCCATCATTATGATTTAATTAAAACCTTTGGAATAATCCTCGTAAGTAATCCTTCATTATGGTTTAATTTGAAACCTTTGGAACAATGCTCGTAAGTAGTCCATCATTATGATTTAATTTTGATGAATTCTTTGAAGGTTTCCGATATCTGAAATCTTTTAAAACTACTGACCAGATAAGAAATGTTATATGGACGAAATCAAATTGATAAATGTCTGGAGAACCTGCCACTTGTGGAAGAACTTTTGTAATCATTCAGTATTTGTTGTATCGCATGTGGAATCGGACTTGGATTGTCATTCAGGAAAATCAATGATCAACATTTCTGTCGAGATAAATGTTTCCTTTTCTAACTACTCTTCCAGAGAATCGATTAAGAAATTGACTGATTAAAACTAATTTTGTTCTTTGGATTGTGTCTTTCGGCAATTTTTCTTTTTTTTAAATCATTTTCGCTTTCTTTTTTGTCAGTCTTTTTCCTTTCTTTCTTTCTTTCTTTCTTTCTTTCTTTCTTTCTTTCTTTTCTATCTATCTATCTATCTATCTATCTATCTATCTATCTATCTATCTATCATTTTCATCAGCAACAACAACCACAAGTACAGCTATAAAAGTATTTCCGTTCTTTTCGAAAACCAGTAAATTCACACAAATTCTGGTTTTTACTTCTTGGTGGATATGTTGATGTTTAATGTTCATCTGAAATAAATCAAGTAAGCAATAGATAAATAAATAAATAAATAATAATAATAATAATAATAATAATAATAATAATAATAATAATAATAATAATTGTCTGGGCTCCTTTGCTAATCTTATTTTTAAAAAGAAAATGACGTTTTGGGATATCAGTTTTCGTTATAAAACGGGAGTGGATATGGGAAACTTCATGGCCAAAAAAAAAAAAAAGAAGATTTAAACGTAATTTTGCCCTTTAGTCATTCATTCAGATTTTAACAAGTAGGTCGAGTTGTAACCTTTTCAGCACCCCCTCCTCCTCTTAAGAACTGTCTTCATATTCCTGTAAAACTATGGATTTGGACTTATACGTTGGACAAACTCACATCGGCATCGATCGAGAAACATTCACTTTAATTTCATCATCCATTACTGAAGGTAGACTTACTTTTTACAATCTCGTTTTTTTTTTTATTAAAAAAAACTTTCTTTCTTTTTTTCTTTCTTTTTTTCTTTCTTTTTTCTTTCTTTTTTCTTTCTTCTTCTATCATTCAAGGGCCGGTAACTCTCTTCACTCCCTCTCTACCCCCCCCCCAATATACACGCAAACAATACCTCCTTGTTTTCTACCCGCCTCCCATTCTGCTACTGTTTTTTAACTTTTCTTTTTTTCCCCACTGTCTCCTCTACAGTAAAACTCCAGTTCAAATAAAGAATATCCCAATAAAAAGTATCGGAGGTCAGGTTTAGTACTACAACTGTCCACTAGGTACGTCTCACCCTCTCTTACTAACGCCACCTTTTTTTGCCGTTTATCGCTTTCATTTTTGTCCCCCTTTCTTTCTTTCTTTCTTTCTTTCTTTCTTTCTTTCTATCTATCTATCTATCTATCTATCTATCTATCTGAGTGTTCATATTTATAAATGCCTTTATCCACTGTGCCATGTGTCCTTAAAGTTAGATCCAGTGACAGGACCCAAACAGTTGTGAGTTCAATATCTGGTTCAGGCAGTGGAGAACTTAGAGAGGTGAATTAACAGGAGATAACTGATAACTGACACCCATTAGACATGGCACGTGGAACTAGAACAGTCTACCCCAGCGAGCGAAATAAAGGGTTCAGTTCCAACCACCTGAAGAAGGCCGGAGCGTACAACGGCCGAAACGTTGTGATAAATATAGCAACAAAGATGAGGACAATAATCCGAATAATGTAAATAGTGCACATAATACCTCATCTCAGAAATATAGACAGATACAGAAACATTTGGTTATAATTTATTTCGTGACTTTGTCTAGACGCAAGGAAAAGTAAAAAAGTAAAAAAGAGAAAAATGTTTTAATATTAAAAAAATGGAAGAAAAATAAAAAAATCAATTTATTGAAATTTTTCTTTTTCTTTCTTCCTTTTTTAAATATTAAAACGTTTTCCTTTTTCTTTCTTCCTTTTTTTAATATTAAAACGTTTTCCATTTTTTTCTTTTTTTCTTTCTTCCTTTTTTTAATATTAAAACGTTTTCCATTTTTTTTCTTTTTTCTTTCTTCCTTTTTTTAATATTAAAACGTTTTCCTTTTTTCTTTTTTTCTTTCTTCCTTTTTTAATATTAAAACGTTTTCCTTTTTCTTTTTTTTTTTTCTTTCTTCCTTTTTTTAATATTAAAACGTTTTCCATTTTTTTTCTTTTTTTTCTTTTCTTTTTTTTTTAATATTAAAACGTTTTCCTTTTTTTTTTTTTTTTTCTTTCTTCCTTTTTTAATATTAAAACGTTTTCCTTTTTCTTTTTTTTCTTTTTTCTTTCTTCCTTTTTTTAATATTAAAACGTTTTACCTTTTTCTTTTTTTCTTTCTTCCTTTTTTTAATTTTAAAACGTTTTCCTTTTTTTTTCTTCTTTTTTTTTTCTTTTTTCCTTTTCCTTCCGTCTGGATAAATTGACTACATTTATTAACAAGACGCTGGTCTGAACAGATGGATGTAAAAGTCCATGAAATAAATTATAACCAAATGAAAATTTAAGGATTCTGTATTCATTATTATATTGCTCTGTTCTTACAGTGAGTTCACTTTGAAATAATATCCTCCTTGGAATTATCCCTAATAATTATCAGTTGATATTCTGTCTGTCTGTCTATCTATCTATCTATCTATCTATCTATCTATCTATCTATCTATCTATCTATCTATCTATCTACACACAAAATACAAATATATAACTTCAAATACAAATATATGACTATACTTGAAATACAAATATACATATGTCGTTTCAAATATAATACAAATGTTCACACAAATATCATGACATATACACACATACTAATATTTTATATACATCCACCTTCGCATGGATATACAAAGGTGTATATGCATAAATTTATTCATAATATCTATCAACATATCAGCATGTTTACTCTTGTATTCATATAAAAATATAAATAGAGGCACACAGTTAAATGTACAGTCATATACGACTGTTCAGAAATATATATATATATATATATATATATATATATATATATATATATATATATATATATACAAAATTATACATATATTATATTCTACATATATATGAGTTGGGATCAAATACAGATCCAATATGGATTGAAATTTGACAGAATCATAATATAAAGAACAGGCAGGAAAGAAACGTTTATCAATGTTAAAAGTTTTGTCAGAGAATGAAATATGGAGAAAAAGAAGAAAGAAATTCTGGTATTTTTACTTTGTTTTATTTGATTTTCATTGATTAATCATGTTTCACGTGCATTCGATTGTTAAACAAATGTTAGTATCATTTGTGGCGTTCCGAATTCAAGGTGAATCGACACGTCCCTTCGAAGTTCTAAGAAATTAACGGTTTCCAAGCCGAACTGACAAGTCGTAAATATTACTTTGTATATGTAAAGGTATAATAATTCTAGTTTGTCTATATGGAATTCATATGACAATGTATATTCGTAAGTGTGTGTGTGTATGTGTGTTTAGTAGACGTTATGTTTGTTAGTTTTTCGCATGTTGAAATGGAAACGTTTTTATGTACATACCGTTTGTTTTAGATAAACATACATTAGATTCTTTAAGAATGCATTCAGTAAAAGTTTGTGATGTGATATAATGTTTTTGACGTGTGTTTATTGTTATTAGTAACCATTCTAAATACGTGTAGTCAATTCTAAAGAACAAAGAAAATATATAAATTTCATATGTTTAGTTTTTTTTCCAGTCAATATTGCCGAGGAGTGAAGGTAGTTAAAATAATAGCGGTGTCAAGGGAAAAACCGTCATTTTGACGCTTCGTTTTTTGTTTTTTTTTTGTTTTTGTTTTTCGGGCATGATGGCTTATATTTCCCAAAGTTCTCTTGTGATTTTAGTCACTCCTCATACTGCAATCTCTCATTGGACAACATGATATTTAAAGTATTGGTATAGCACTAATTCTTTCTATTTAGGGATGATAAAACGTTGAAACCGTGCATGTTAAACCACTTAGAAATCTTATACCTTTCCTCGGGTTGATAACCCTCAATCATTTTTTTCAGTTTTTTTTTTTTCGCCATGTTTAAAAAATTCACCGGATGCTTGTTTTTTTTTTAGGTGTTACTGAGAGTGAAAGAGAATGAAAAGACTTTAGGAAACGGAAGCAGAAACTCTAACTCCTAAATAGGAAACAAAGGATAAAACTTTATTCTTGTTCAAAAGACGGGGACGTAGCAAAACAAATTTACTTAGGCCTTTTAAAGTTATGACAGGATTATATGCAAGGACCATAAAAAGCTCATATTTTTTTGACTATTGATTAATCTAATTTACTGCATTCATTTATTTTTACGCAGGAGGCGGACTATTTATGTTAATGTTATCAGTAGTAAATTTAAGAAATAAAATAATCAATAATAATAACTACTTCTTATCGATTTACGGTTGTAACTGAATGAAAGGAGCAGGTGTGCGTCTCTGATGAATAAGACGTTTTGTCCCGGACTCTTTCATCACATTTAACCTTATCGCAGTATTCGTCACCGTACAAAACTCAGACACAGATGGTGCACTGTTATGAGTGTTACTATGTCACAAGATGGGTGAAGACTGAAAATGTTATCAGAATATCTACTATCTGCGTCGTCCATCCCCCCACATATATATATATATATATATATATATATATATATATATATATATATATAACACATCACATATATATATAACATAAACAATGTTATTTTTGTTTTATTTATTCTTTTATAGCACCGTTTCACGCTTAGCAACTTTTCAAAATGGGTGGCTAATAGCATTCAGGAGATCTTTATTACTTTTCACATTTTTTAAAAGTGCGAAGGCAGTACGAAATAATTTAATTCCTTTCCTTTAGTAAATTATTTAAGTTAATTCTATAATTTGTTGTTTATCCTCCATGCATAGATTTAAGTTTCTTTTTTCTGTTTCTCGTGAAATTTTTTTTTATTATATTTAATTCTATGAAAAGGGTTTCCTATTTGCTTTTTAATTTTTATATATATATTGATGACGTGTTGTAATTCTTCTATCTTTCGTAATTGAAGGTTAGCAAGTGGTTTCCAGATATTTCCTTAAAGTCTTTGTTGCACCGATGAACATCATCTCCTCCTTGGATCCTCTTTTGTTGTCACTTCGGCCTTATATAATATATTTTGCTCTCTGCAATTTCATTCCAAGGGTGATTTTTTTTATTTCTACAATACTATTTTTTGTTAGTGTTATTGCATTCTTGCTATTTAATATTTTTTATTATTTCTTCAGTGTTATACGTGTAACTGTAAGTAATTTTTTATGGAGCCTCTATTTTACACACACACACACACACACACACACACACACACACACACACACACACACACACATATATATATATATATATATATATATATATATATATATATATACATACTTGGATTGGTGCGAGTTTGTGACCCTGGATTTCACGCTATTTGCGATTGTCAGACCAACTGATTAATTTTTAAATTTTTGATTATATATATATATATATATATATATATATATATATATATATATATATATATATATATACAGGTAATCGATCCGTTGGTATATAATCCGGGTGGATCCTAGTAATATTAATTATTAAAACTGATCGACAAAGAACGCGATGTTTTTATTTTAACAGATTTTTTTAATATATATTTATTTTAACAGATATTTTCACATATCTATCTATCTATATCTATCTCTCTCTCTCTCTCTCTCTCTATATATATATATATATATATATATATATATATATATATATATATATATATATATATATATATGCGTGCGTGTGTGTGTGTGTGTGTGTGTGTGTCTGGTAGGAATGACATCAGAGGACAAAACGATATTTTCCAAATGATCTTCCTATAAGCATGTCTTTCGGAGTTACTTTTATTCACATTTTCAACTCTTGCTATAAACTGTTTTTCTTTTACCTCTTGCGAGCAAATGACTTAGGCAAGAATGTTGATGTTGTCAGACTAGTAAACACGATGGGTGTAATTCCTTCTTTCCAATGCTGGTTCCTTTTCTGTTTAAGCTAAAGGTACAGCTAACCTTAGCGGATCGCTGAAAAACCCTCTCCAGACGCTTCTCGTTAAAAGGGCGGCCCTCTTTTTTTTTTTTTTTTTTTTTTTTCTTGCAGTCAGCCAGGCCCGGTTTTGGTTTCGCCTAGTTTTTTGCCATTTCGTTTTGGGTCGGGTTGGCGGTTGGCAAATATCGCCGCCATTTTTGCCTTTCTTTTTGCACCCACGCAAAGTCTCGAACCTCTCGTCACTAAGCCACAAAAATGCCGAAAAAAATGTTAAGAACTGGAATAAGGAATTGGAAGACCAGAAATGACTATAATTTTTTTTTTTTTTTTTTAAGTGGGCAGTTTGATTTGGAAACGGGTTGAGTTGGATTCTTAATGGCAGCTGAATTATTTCTTCTTTCTTTCTTTCTTTCTTTCTTTCTTTCTTTCTTATTAAGGGTCTTTTGTTATCTTTCTTTTTCATGACGGATAGATTTTCTTTCTTATTTCGAGTAGCTCTTTCTTTCATTCTTTCATTCTTATCACGGATATTTATTTATTCCCTTTCATTCTTATCACGGATATTTATTTATTCCCTTCTTTCACGGATCTTTCTTTCTTTCTTTCTTTCTTTCTTTCTTTCTTTTATCAGTAGTTATTTCTTTCTTTCTTTTTAACAGCGTTTTATGACGGTTAGCTCTTTCTTTCTTTTTTCTTTCTTTCACAGGTAGTTTTTTCTTTTTTCTTTCTTTCTTTCTTTCTTTTTTTCTCGGATATTTCCTTGTTTGTTTCTTTCTTTTACGGATAGTTCTTTCTTTTTTTCTATCTTTCTTTAATATTATGGACTGATCTTTCTTTTGTCTTTTGGGGATTATTATTTTTCTTTATTTTCTTACCTTTTAATGCGTTTTATTTATGCTAGTTTTTTTCTTTCCTTCTTATTATTGATAGTTCTTTCTTTCTTTCTTTCTTTCTTTCTTTCTTTCTTTCTTTCTTTCTTTCTTGCCAATTCTATCTATCGTTATCAGTTTGCTATACCTTTAGCTTAAACAGAAGACGAACCAACATTGGAAAGAAAAAATTATAGCCATTGTATTTTCTAGTCTGACAACATCGTCATTCTTGTCTAAATCATTTTGCTCGTAAGGGGTAAAGAAAAACAGTTTATGACAAGATTTGAAATAAGAATAAAGTAACTCCGAAAGGCATTCTTATAGGCAAGTGACATTTCATTTGCAAGTAAGATATCGCTTCCCCTAATTTTTATTCCTTACACACACGCACAGACACGACATTCAATAACCTATTATTTTGTTTTACTACGGTTTCTATCTTTCTTTCTGTCTGTCAGTTAAGGGATTTGCTTTTTTTTTTAAAGTATCATGTCTTCTATTTTCTTCTTTAAAAAGATCATGTCTTTCTTTCACGGCAATAATTTATGGCACCAATATTCAGAGAACTTAAAACGGTTACTCGGTGACTTATTTTAGTGTATCATTTTACTTGCAATTATTGCAACATGACGCCAACAATAGTCAGTGCATTATTTAAACAAATCAACAAAGCCTTCCTGTAGAAATCTCTCACTTATTGCCAACTAAGACTGGTTTTACATAAGTAGCCAAGGAATCGTTCTAAGTAACGCATTAATCAAAATAAGTACTGCATAATTTGATGAGATAATTTATTTATCTAAACTTTTCTCCCTTTATTTTTAGGTATTTTGGGTATAATTTACCATTTGTAGTTTTCGGCGTTTCTTTCAATATATTTAAGTACATCAATAAATTCGTAGTCTGACAGTTTTTACTTGAATTTTGATCTGGATTTTGAATTTCTCTATATAATATCCAGTCAGTGTGATAAAAAAAACTATCGTTGGGTTTAAGTACATTGAGAAGGAGAGAGATTATTTAAAAAAGAAATGTTTATTGAGTCAAATAAATTCACCATCTATCTATGTATTTTAGTATGTATCTATCTATCTATCTATCTATCTATCTATCTATCTATCTATCTATCTATCTATCTATTTCTTTCTTTCTTTCTTTCTTTCTTATTTTTTGTGACTGCTCCAAACCTCGATACTCCTTTTCTCTTTTTGCCAACTTTCATTCTCTCTCTTTTTCACTTTTCTCATTCTCTTTCCATCTACGTCTTACCCTCTCTCTCGTTCTACTTCTTTTCCTCCCCGATCTTCTCTCTCCCTCTTACCCTCTTACCCTCCCTCTCTCTCTCTCTTTTCCATCTCTGGCTTTACAATCAACATTCATTCCTCCGACGAACACCGACCCACTTTTGCGCGTATAACCTACATTACGAACTCTTGCCGCTCAGGCCACTAAGAAAGTTACGAAAAACAAGGAAATTATATTGGTAAAAAAAAAAAAAAAAAAATCTTAGACTCTTGTGTGCGCTCTAAACTTTTGAGATCCAGTTTTCGTTATTCTGCCATTCCCTTCTGCCTTTTCCAATATCTTTTGCTCGCTCTTTCTTTCTGTGAGAATTTTCAACCACAAACAGCCGCAAATATCTGCATATTGGATAACATGACGTCGCCATATTTCCCTTTTTTTCTAAAGCGTTCCGCTCTTGATCTCTCTTCTTTATGGCTAATTCTCCGGTTGTTTTCTTTTTTTACTTTCTCTCTATTTCATACGTCTTCTTTTCATTTCTCTCTCTCTCTCTCTCTCTCTCTCTCTCACACACACTCACACATCTCTCTCTATCACATTTTCTCTGACATTCACTTCCTCGCTTTAATTTTCTTTTACGAGACTTCTATCTTTTTCTCGTTTTCTTTTTCTTCTTTATATTTTTTTTACTCATTCGCTTTTACCATCGTCTGCTTTTGAAATCTCGCTTGATTCTTCTCCACTTATCTTACACTTAATTGAAGTAGCTTTTTTTTTTTCTCTTTTAATTTCTTCTTTCTTTCCTAACAACATTCCTCGTCTTTTTTTGTTTACATCTCATTATTTTTTTTCGCCAGTCCCAACCAGCTTATCACCCGTTTCCGTTTTAATATTCGCTCTCAGCCATTGACACTTTCCACCGTCTCTCTTCTTTTGTTTTTTTTTGTTTTTTGCCAATCTTAACTTCTTCTTCTTCTTCTTCTTCTTCTTCTTCTTCTTATTATTATTATTATTATTATTATTATTATTATTATTATTAACTCTATGCATATACCCTTTTTGTGTTTGTTGACTTCTTTTTTAATCTACCTTCTTTTTCTCCACTTCTCTTCCTTCTCCGTCTCCTCCTCCTTCTCTCTCTTCCTTTTTTCTCCTCCTCCTCCTCCTCCTTCTTCTTCTTCTTCTTCTTCTTCTTCTTTATTTTAAAGTTCTTATTGCTTTTCTCCCCATTGTCTACTTATTATCATCGGCAATTATTAAAAACAATTCTCTATTAGCAATTTCTATAACCTATATAAATGCTAACTGCATAACGTTAAAATGAGTAATAGGCGCGTTCGAAAGCCTCACATTGGAATACAAAATGTCTGCCTGGGCAGACAGATCAAACTTTGAGTTAGCCACTCGCCACGACGCTATCAACAATTCTGGAGTTGGTATGGAATGTTCTTCCATCGTCCTATCATTTTCAAACATTCACTTGCTTTTTTTTTTAAATTCATGGAACACTCGTTGCATGGCCTACGCTACCAATAATTTGAGAAATTACGAAATAATTCTTTTATGCCTGAATACAAAATTTATTTGGAAAGTCGCAGGAGTTCATAGATGACCAACGAAAAATACTTTGATGGGTGTCGCATAAGTTGCCTAATAGGTATTTTGCTGAGGCCGCTCGTTCACCAAAAGCGCAACAGTCAGAAAGACCAAATCAGTTCGCAGTTGAATTGGCGAGATGTAAGTCTAAGTTCTATGCTAGCAGTTTCTTTTCTCGCCCTTCTCGCTTGTGGAATTCTCTTGCGGATTCTTGCTTTCCAGATAACTTTGATTTTCAAAACTTTTAATGTTGTCTACTGTCTTCTTGATTACTTTTCTATTGTTCTCGCTCCTTCATACTGTTTTCTTTTTTTTCTTATTCTTTCAAACTCAGTGACCCCTTGTGTATTAATGGCTTTACTGCCTCGCAATGGGTGATTTGATTTTAAAAAAAAAAGGCGGGGTTGGGGGTCTAGAAAAGTCTTCGAAACGACGTTACAGTGTCCAGTGGATAAATTTCGACAATTGGTGGCTGTCTTCACACACACACACACACACACACACACACACACACACACACACACACACACAGATACACACGCGTGCGCGCACACACACACGCGCGCGCGCACATACATCTGTGCTTGTATGTGCAGGTGTATGTGTGTATCAGCTCAGAATCTGTCAAGGTTGAAAATGCATGTAAGAGCATTTTACATTTACTGGGTCTGAAAACTCTCCAACCATTCAGAATATCTCGAGAACCGATTGGATGTCCTTGATGTAACTTAGCATCCAATCATAGGGAACCTTATTGTGCATCCTTTATCAGGCATTTTCCTCTAGGGTTATCGAATCAGCAGCAAGACGCCACCGAGTGGTCTTGTGTATTGTGACCGTCACCATTACGAATGATATGCAACTATTTTTTTTTTTTGTTTGCAACTTGGATATTACACTTCGGAAACCATCCGAATGATTAAAATGGTTTTCGGGAATGATTCAATGTTCAAAATCCATATGAAATTATATTACTGTCTCTACGACTATGAGCACAGTCCATTGAAAGCGATCCACTTTCTGGAAGGACTTTAACAAATAGGAAGTTGGAAAACGCTTGCAATACTGCAATGAAAGAAAATCAGTAACTGACCCTGAGAAAATAACCATAAGATATGCGGACTCCATGGACTGCGATGAGGTTCCGTTTATTAAAGGGATCTCAAACATGTTTCCCGCGGGTCGTATGTTTGCTATCGTGCCACGTGTTTGAGACGGCTTACGAACCATCTTTCTGTAGCCAGCGAGGGAATATTTTCGTGGCTAATATTTTATTCAAATTTTAATATCTGTCTATATTTCTGAGATGAGGTATTGTAACTATTCACACTATAATACATTGTTCGGACTGTTGTTCTCATCTTTATTGCCATATTCATGACGTTTCAGCCATTGTACGCTTTGTACAAGAATGAATAGAATAATGTATTCTTTGTAAGAAATCTTTTTCTAGATCAGGCTGCATTGATGTGGTTTTTTGTAAAGAGGGTTTCTGTCGACAGTCAAATGTATTGCTGGTTAATTTTTTTTTCAGAAATCTATTACTGATATTTTTTTCCAAAAATGTATTGCCGGTATCTTTACTATAAAAATCTATTTTTATACTTTCATAGTATTTTGACTCTAGTTTGAGGAGGTAACTATTTGCCCATAGTTGGGACCCTAACAGGTGCTACCACCCCAGGTCAGGTGGTTCCAGGCCCCTTAAAAACCTTTCGATCCAAGACCTTGCTGCCGGGGGTAGTTATTCATCATATACAGGATTCTGGGGTGGGGTGCTGTGGGGATTGTCTTGTATCATTTAATATCCCCAAAAGAAAGTTAATAACATTTTACCAGCACGAAGCAGACCCCTCAGTGTATATTCGAAATATCGCTAGTATAATGGTCAGTCCTTTTTACCGATCCAGAAAATACCTGATTCTTCCTGCTTTGCTTTATCTTTCCAAGAGTCAAAAAAAAAAAAAAAAAGCATTGCTGCCATATCTGGGCTGGTGCCGACTAATCGTGATTTGGAAAGAGCTCAAAAGCTGTTACGAATTATAATCCACTCTACAAACACTATCCAAAAAACGAAACGTTGTTACCCGTAACCTTTTGAGTCCTGCATTTCTGAACAATTTTAACCCTTCTGTCTGAGCTCCTTTGGTCAAAATTAGCAAATAATTCGTATGTAATGTTTCACAGTAGATATAAAAATAGTTACAAGTGTTTACCCACCTTACAACCGGTGGCTGGGCATTAAGTCATTTTTCTCTTCCAACGGTAAAGCGGTGGTCAGGACTGAAAGAGTTAAGTTTATTGCCAGCAACTTAAACGAAACATTACATCAAAAGCGGTCTGGTGGAGTATGAAAAGTGTCATCGATTACGAGGTACTGGAACATAGAAAGATTATCGCTGCTTAACCCTTTGATCCCTGCGTTCCATAATAATTTTAACCCTTCTGCGTGAGCTCCTTTGGTCAAAATTAGCAAATAATTGGTATGTAATGTTTCACAGTAGGTATAAAAATAGTTACAAGTGTTTACTCACGGTTCAACCGGTGGCTGCGCATTAAGTCCTTTTTCTCTTCTACCGGTAAAGCGGTGGTCAGGGCTCAAAGCGTTAAACAATTCTGTCGCTGTTTCTATGGTAAATGCCCAGGCAAATTATATTCCTTAATTTCACGTGTTAAAAAGCTTTACAGCAAGGATCGGTCATACCACATACACGGCGCCATCTCATCTTCATCCCCTTCATATTTCTTTGGTAAAGAGGAAATGTCACTCAGACATCTTACTTTGTGGAACAGACTACTGTGGCGATGCTTTTCCGCTTAATAAAATCCATCATACATATCCTAATGATATTAATTTCTAACCTCCTACATTTATGCCATTAAATAACCTTATTCAAAAAGCCTCGACGTTCAGTGGCTCTTGGTAACTCATTCAAATTGGTGTAAAATTCGTAGTAAATAAATCATAAGACAGGGAACTGTATTGTGACTTGTATCATATTCAGATAAGCAATAGTTTCATTGATAAACTCAATCCTATTGTGGAATCTTCCACATTTGCCAGTTAAATGCGCTCTTCCTCTGTAGTAATTATCATCACATACATACAAATCATGCGACAAGCATTCATTGGTTAATCTCCTCAAAACTAGCTCGCTGACTGGTCAGTTCCGACCAATCAGATATCCTGCACGCGAGGAATGAAATTTCCCGCTAAGGTTGAGCCGATCACGTGATGCACCATCTTATATAAATAAAACACGAGTGGTTCTCTCTCTATTCAGTCTCTCTTGCGTCTCAATCCTTGCTGCCAAGATGTAATCTTCAAGAGCTCCTGTCTTGACCATGCAGTCAGACGTTAAAGAACGTTACAACGTTCACGCAAGTACAACTCTTAACTCTTCTGAACTCTTATCAACTTTACCAATTCACATTTCCTAACATGCTAAAGGAACTTTATTCTTCTAAATAGTTAGTTAGTTCAATAGTTAATTCAATTTATGAGCTCAGGTACAAATATTTTCAAATCTAAGAGATATAACTCTATCAAACCTTCAGCTTATATGCATGTACACCAAACACTAATAAATTTAATTGTTATGTTTAGAATCATTACATTCTATCTTGTATTTTATACTATGTACTATTTTACGTCAAATATAAATTGCATTGCGTCCACGCATTGTCCTTAATCATGCCTTTCCTAGTCAAAAGATAAATATATGTAATACACAATCGCCTACACTATCTTCTATCTTTATTCTTCTTTTATGTACCGTGTCCCTTCAGGACGTAAGCGAACATGGCCCTCCACATCTTCCTGTTGCTTGTAGCTCTTAATACGTTTTTGTTCTACCATCCATTTGCTTAAGCTTATCAAGTATGTTACGCGCTAATCCCCTCTGTCCCTCTTTCTTTTAATCTAAACCTGTGAGTATAAGGTCCTCCATGCACTCCTTCCTGATTACGTGCACCAGAAATTTCAACTGCCTCTTCCTGGTGTTAAGTATAAGTTTCCTTTTCGTTTGCATTTTCTCAAGAACCTCGTTGTTTCTCATATGTTCGGTTTATGGTATCCTCAACATCTTTCTGTAGAACCACGTTTCTGTGGCTTCAAGTTCCTT